TTTCATCCTTGTCGTTCGTGGTGCTGTTCTCGCCCCGAAAAGCGTCAAAACTGTCGCGAAGGGCGGCAATGATCTCATCCTTATCGTTCGTGGTGCTCTTCTCGCCCCGGAAAGCGTCGAGGTTCTCACGGAGAGCGGCAATGATTTCGTCCTTATCGGTCCGCTCACCACGGAAGCTTTCGAGATGCTCGCGAAGCGCAGCAATGATATCATCCTTGTCATTTGTCACGCTCTTCTCACCGCGGAAAGTGTCAAGGTTCTCACGAAGAGCGGCAATGATCTCGTCTTTGTCACTCTTCGGCGCTTCGGGCTCCGCACGAACAAGGCTCATGTTCATGGATTCCCTAAGCTGCTCGAACTCTTGCTTGATAATGCTCGCGATATCCTGGTTCTTAGGGATTTTCTGAGCCTCCGAGGCATCGCGAATGGCGTCGAGGATTTCGTCCTTGTCACTTGATGTGCTCTGCTCTGTCCGAAGTAGAGAGCTTATAGTAGATCGAAGGTGTTCAAACTCCTTCTCCATGGCATCGAGGAGCTCTGGGGTATCTGGGTTGCGGGGAACACTAGCCACTACGCTCTCGGCGATTGTCCTCTCCATGTCCGCCTGGAGCAGTCGGAACCCTTCCTTCACGGTGTCCATGATTTCATGCGTGCCAGAGGCTTCAGCGGCGGTAGCAGCGTAGCCTTCGACCTCCTGTCGCACCACGGCGATGCCGTCCTTAATTGCGTCCAGAATCTGCATGGCGTCGTGCTCCTTGGCCTGCGACTGCTGCTTCAGCTCCTCTCTCATACCGTCATGGTGCTCCAGGACTCGTTCAAGAATCTGGTCCCCGATGTTGTGGTTTTCGGCGTTGGCCTCGTGGAGTCCAGCTGAGATAGCTTCCATGAGATCGTCCTTGTTTAATTCGATCTCCCGGGTCATGCTGTTCTGAGCCTCCAGTCCCTCGGCAATAGCTGCGAGGATTTCGTCACGGGAAACGGTAGACTGAACATTGGTACTGAGAGCCGACTGCTGAGCATAAAATGCATCATTGACCGCATTGGCGACGTCCTCCTTGGTGACATGTGGTTGTTCAAGCTGCCGAGCAGAGGTGAAGTGCGCTTGGATGCCCTGCGCGACCGCGCCCAAGATCTCTTCGCGACCAAGGCCAGAGTCAAGTGACTCCCTTGTAAGTGCTCTCTGGGATGCTACGGATTCGGTAACCGCCTGCAGTATATCTTCCCGAATAGCATCCAACTTCTCGTCGTGTACAGAACGGGTAGCGGTCTGAGAAGTTTCGAGACATTCACGGATCGTGTGCACAATCTCGTCCTTGGTGATTGTGGGCGGTTGCTCAAACTGCTGCATACCCGCCTGTACAGCGGCCAGGACTTGATCATATGTGACCGCATCTTCATGCCGCGGCTGATAGGCTTTAAGACCTTCTGACAGACATTCCAGGATCTCATCACGTTCCAGCCCAAAGTTCTCCAGCTCAATCTCGGGCTTGTACGTTTCCCAGGCATCTCTAACTGCATCCAGGATGTCGTCCTTTTCCATTGTGGCACCTCTCGGGTCATCCCGTAACTGTGATAAGTCGAGATCATTAAAGGCCCGTTGGACAATGGAGTATAGCTGGGCGCTATCCATTGCGGAGCGGAATTCTGAGAGAGCATCTGAGTGCAGCTTGTTTTCGCTGATGATTGCTTCCAACTGCTCCCTCAGCTCGCACAGACTGTCGTTGACAATAGCAGAGATCTCCTCCTTTCCGGGACCGGCGGGCCTGTCCTCCGCGGCCTCGCGAGCTATCTCGATTTCTTCCAGTTTCCGGGCCAGATTGCGCCCCATGCCCAGCACTTCACCGCGCAACTCGCGTACCAGTGCTTTCACTTCATTTGTCATGCCCCCTCCTTCAATCACGCTGTTCTTCACGCGCCGCATGATTGACAGCATTTCTTCCGTCGTTTGCTCGTCAGAGTGAGACATAGAGCGTGTTGATAGTCGACCATTGTCTCCGGGAACCATGCCCAGGTCCGGAGCGTATAAGTGCTCAGGGTCCATAGATTTTGATCTGCCTGTCTTGAAAGCAGCATGACTGGCATCAGAAGGTGCACGCGCCCGCACCAAAGCCTTGCTCTCCCACTCGTCCTTGACGATACTCAGGATCTCCTCCAGCATTTTTGTTGTCCTACTATCAAGCGGCTCGCCGGAAGCATCCGAGATGGGCCGGGCTTTGATCTCGTCGACCAACTCCGTAAGCTTTTCCTGACCTTCCTTGGTGGCCATCTCCCGGAGCACCTTCTCCAATAGCGCAATACTGGCCGAGCCATCGGAGATGGGCGTAGGCGAAGCGGCCAACTCGCGCTCCATCGCGGCCGCGAAGGGATTTGGACTTGGCATCCGTGCATAGCTCTTTTTCGAGTTCGGAGAACTATCCGATTCCCTATAGTTAACACCACTATCAGAACCCAGGAGAGTACTGAAATCAAACCTTGTGGCAGCATCAGGATCCAAAAACCTCGAATTCAAGTTGGACGATAGCTCCCGGAGGCTTTTCCGGATATCTTCGTCTCGCGCATTCGTGGCGGCTTTCAGACTAACGAGGTCTGTCGCATTGTCCTTACTTCGGCGACTGAGCTGGGCCATCTCGCGCTGGAGGTTGCTGGCAATATCGGTCAGGCTGTGGATTTGTGTGGACAAGGATTCGAAGCTATAGTTAGGAGGACGGTTCGGCCCTACGAACGGGTCGGACTCGACACTCTTGGGTTGCGAATCGGGTTCGCAGGGCAGCTGCATGTTCTGCAGCGCGAGCATAGTGGCAGAAGGTGGGGTGCTTTCCCCGAGGATCGGTTTGGAGAGATAACGGGGCGAGATGAGCAAGTTCGGGGGCTCGGGGTCTGCTTCTGGCTCTTCTACCTCGGATTTCATTAGACTCCTCTCCGGCAGCTTTGTCGTCGAATCAAAGGTTGATGCTCGTTGTGGCCGTTCCGGCGATTTGCTCTCTAGATAGTTTAGGAACTCAGATCGCGGATCCGAGCTATTCTGAAACGACTGCATGCGCTTGTGGAATTGGCCTTTGATCAGAGACTTCTCCGGTGAAGACTTCGGTGGCATGGGGTTGGAGACGTATGGACTTGGGGCGTTTTCCCGCATCTTCTCTGTAAAGGTGGCCGCCATCGCTTGGATACCGGGCGAAACGTTGCCCTTCGTCGCGGGACTGGTTGAGCCGGGGTTCAAGGGCAGCGGCGGAGGCGCCCGTTCGGGATCTGAACTGTCCCACCTTCACGGCCACGATGTCAAGGTCAGTCTACGGCAGTCCCTTGTTTGCCATTGGACGGCAACCGGTCTTTGTTTAGGTGATCGTTGAGACATACATGGGAATTGATTGGTTTCTGACAACGAGCTCCCGGTCTCGGGAACCGTCGCGAGTGTGAGCCGCCGGCATTGTGAGACCTGGCTGATAGAGTGGACTTCCTGTATCTTTCGTTCCTCGACAGTTGAAAACAACAATTGGAATCGGGGGGCCAGAGGGGTTAATGTAGGGAATGCGCAGAAGAATGTTCGTTCAATTAAGGTCGTTAGGCATATCAATTCGTCAAAACAAAGCAAAAGCAGGTAACTCTTGGTCGCATCAAACGATGTCGTACAGCAGGAAAGCAAGGATCGTGAAAACAGAACAGAAAAAAAAAAATAAAAAAAACAAAGGTATCAATGCGCTTGCTGTCGAGGGATAGAGGGGAGGGGAGGAACTAGAGGAGGAACGGATCACGATTGAAGAGACCCGAGGGTAGGAGAGTAGATCTTGGAGTAGATAATCAATTAAAACAGAAATCAGTGACCCAAACAGCCGAGTGGAGTTTGAGAACTGGAGGGAGATTTTAATGGTAGCTCATGGGGCATCAACCAACATCGGGCCCAATCCCTCGTGTACACATCAAAGCTGCGTCCTAGCAACCGATAGACGCCCCGTTGCCGAGTAAACAATGCCGTCATGGGCGGTGAGAGAATCTATGATAAAGAGGAAAAGTTTGTCCGATGCCCCCCCCGACCATCTCGGGCACTAGTCCCGTTGGAGAAACTCTCCCAGACCGGCTTAGCGACGGAATCATCGGTAACGCAACCAATGAGAGGTGGGCGCACAAAAGCCCTGAGCAAGCCCTGATTCTCAAGCGAAAAAAAGAACGTCGACGGCGGAGACTCTCTTTACTCGACCGAAGCACATCGACAACCAACCCCATCGACCTTGTTGCCGCCGGGACTTTCACAATGAAGTGTTAGTTTATCGCTCTTGCACCCCGATTTTGATTCACTACGTTTGAATGCCAGCTGACAGGATGTCGCGATAGTCATGAAAGTGGGCCGTGTGGCCATCATCACCCGTGGCCGTTACGCCGGTAAGAAGGTACGACACGAAATGATTCCCTTTTTCAGTTTCTGCGCGAGGCGGAGTGTGTGCTATGGCGTTTGTTTTGGCGGGAGCGAATGATTTTCAATGAAAGACGACGAGAATCTACGACACATTCAACGACATCCAGCGAGAGTTAGATGGGCAGCGGATAGCGTGTTCGGGTTTTCATGGAATGAGACGTGTGCAGGGATGAAGCTGACAGGACCGCTGGTATAGGTCGTCATTGTCCAGCCTAGCGACACTGGCTCCAAGGCGCACCCCTTCGCCTATGCCGTCGTTGCCGGTATCGAGCGTTACCCCCTGAAGGTCACCCGCCGCATGGGTAAGAAGACCGTCGAGAAGCGCAGCCGCATCAAGCCCTTCATCAAGGTTGTCAACTACAACCACTTGATGCCCACCCGTTACACCCTCGAGCTCGAGGGTCTCAAGGGCTCCGTCACCAACGACACCTTCAAGGAGGTCTCCCAGCGTGAGGACGCCAAGAAGACCGTCAAGAAGGCCCTTGAGGACCGCTACACCAGCGGCAAGAACCGTTGGTTCTTCACTCCTCTTCGTATGTTTTTTTTTATTCTTTGATAAATGTATCCTACATGGGCGGATGCTGACCAATGACAGGTTTCTAAACGGGGTTTTTTTGGGCGTTATGTCGTTTGAGCGCGCAAGGTCTTAGATGAGGCAAGAAAAAAGGGCATCGAGCACATTCGGTTCATGACACAAGAGGACGGATACCATAGCTGGCGGATGCATGGGGAATGTATCGATGTACAAGTCCAGGACTTGGCCATTTTTCTTTTTTGATAATGAAGGAGGCCACAGAGATCGGGCGTCCTCGCAATGAAATGGAAATATGAACAAATTCAAAATCTTCCTTTGTCTGAGATGACTACGATGTGACTACAAATCCCCGGACTATACCCCGTGACTTAGTCTTATCGCAACACTAAGTCTCCAGTCCTCTATCAATGTGATTTTGGTCCCTACTCCGGACTCTTTCCACCCCCACCTAACCCAAACCCCATGGAGAGAGAGATATATATACATATTACTCTATCGTGTTCCCCTCCCAACGAACCATCAAGTCAAACCCTCGGACGAGCACACGTGCCCGGGCAGAGGGACAACCTCAACGTCCCCTTGGCGCATAAGAGATCCCCGCATCTTACGTATCTCCGCAATCAAGCAAACCGGAAGGACGGTAGCAGCAATCCGAGAAGCGGGGAACACAGCAATAGACCACCGTCAACATCCAGGGCCACCTCATCCTCGTAGCCGCTGTACTCCGGGCGGAAGTGGAACGTCGTCCTCGTAGATGGACTGGACCGGTCCATGCATGCAGCGACCAAGATTGGGCGGCTAGTCGTCCTACGAATGGCCGTGCGGCATGCGGTAGGTAACCTTCGGATGGGTAAGCGGGAGCTCGTATTGAGCGATCGAACTATTGTTCCCTAGTAGCGTTCTCATTGCTCATTACGAGCGGCGTCTGCGTTCCCTCTTGTGGGTTGCGGTCCGCTACGGTAGGAAGAGACGCGGATGTGCCTGTCTGTGCTCTTGCTTGTGTTTTCTCCGCGGCTGGATCTACGATTGGAGGTGAGGAGTTTTTTTTTTTTTTTTTATGTTGCGTCTTTTCTCTATTTTAGTTTTTTTTTTCTTTTTACCTTTTCTTTGTGACGAGTCTAGAATATGCGTAGGAACATAATGAATGTTTGCTTCCTGAAACACAGAATCTCGTTGGTGGAGGTTGATAGTCGAATGGCAGGTCGCTGTCAGAAATATATAATGACATGCATAACACAGTCTATGCCACCATATGCACCCGGAAGCACCTATTCACCTTTCACAAGCCATGGACAGGACCAGACCAGTATATATTACTATCATGTGCTTCTACACTACTACTGATATGAGTTACACATGATGAAATCCAGGGTCTTCCAGCCACAGGTACCTAGGTCCCCTAGCTGACGAGCATATCCCAGTCAGAGAGCTTGCTACAACTCCCCAATGCAACCTAGTCGCCCCCGATCATATGGGAAATAAGATGAGAATTGCGGCAAAAGTACGATGCACGGGGTTGACGCTAGAAAATGCCATGCCGGTCGAGGGGGGGCTGTTAGGATGGATCGATGTAAAATGGGAAACTGGGTGCTTCCCAGAGAGACGGGGGCCAAAGGAGAGCGATTGTTGGCTAGACAGATGGCGCTCAGACCAACGGGGGGCGGATCCAACTCAAAAGGGGAAGCGAAGAGAAGGAAAAGTCTTTGCGCTTGAATGAACGGAAAACGGCCAAGGCGTTGTCAAGAGGAGGTGTCGCTCCATCAATCTGGACGAGTCAGTAAATTCATGCATGATTCATGGGTTTTGTTCAGATGCTTGGGTCAGCCATGTTATAGTTTGGCTTGGTTTTGTTTCGTTTTATTTTATTTTATTCAGGTTCTTCAATTTTTTTTTTTTTTTTGTTTCTGATTTAAGAAAATCGAGAAATCAAAATAACCTTTTCTCTGAATAAGTTTAGAGGATCATCAAGGAGGCGTCGATAATAATAAACGATCATCTAGGACGAGGATGCTGTCAGTAGTAGACACGACGTCGACACTACGAACTTAGTGTGCCACAGGCAGATAAAAAAGGGTGACCCGCAATCACATGCCGTCAGCCCACTTCGCCCTCCAAACTTCCAAACATCTCATTTGCCTTTCCGGATTCAAACGTCCATCAAATCTTCTCGCGCGCCACGGACGATAACGCAATGTGCTGGAAGGTCCAAAGATCATTCGATTTTGTGACTTCACCTTATCTCCCCCTTCCAAGGAACCAGTCCGTTTCCCCCCATCATGTCTGGCCGACCCTCAGGCAACCAGGTTGAACAATATTCCCACGACTCAAGGCCCCGGTTGGCTTCCTTGCCCAGATGACGATCGGGCCGACCCTGCGAGCAAATAAGAGGATGCTGGACTATCGCTGGGCGATATTCTAGGCCGATGAGATGCAAATGATGAGTCGGGCCTTTAGCCCTAGTGTAACACTATTTGATTCGATTTTATTTTTCATTTTGAATTTTTTGCCCCTCCGCTTGCGTTCAGTCAATTTACGGATCCGCTATCACATGCTTTTGTGCTTCTTATTACTTATTATATTATCGTCCATTCTGACGAGCAAAATTCGATCTGATGTGATGGTTAAGTACATCGAAAGCTAATAAATACCTATCCTTCTGTCCTGGCCCTTTTTCTTGAACTGATTGAACTTATCTTGACCGCCCCCCCCTTCCGTTCTTCTCCTCCCTTCCCTCCAACCAAGCTTTCTTATACAACCTTTTGCTCTTCTCCTACCAGTAGAACTTGACCTCCCTTATTCTCCGATCGTTCGTGGCTTACATACTCCTACTACTACCTCCTCAGGTATGCGATGCGATGCACCTTGCCGATCCTCATCCAGCTCCATCCCATATACTAACCCTCCACCCTCGATAGTAACCGATGCCTCACGCAGAGCCAAAAAAGATGGGTGAAAACGCTGTCAACGGCGAGAAGGTCCACTCGCACTTCCTGGACGTAAGCCATGCCTCCATCGCGACCCTTCCTGGTCCATCACTCACCCTTCATCCAGCATCTTACATCCTACCCCGTCGTCTCCGACTCCATCACCGTCTTCAAGAGCAACAAGTACGGCGCCAAGTCCATAGAGTACGCCGATCAGAGCTATGACCGCATCGCTAAGCCCTTCCTGCCCTACTTCTCCAAACCCTACGGCTACATCGCCCCCTACCTGGCCCGCGCAGACTCCCTCGGCGACCAAGGACTGTCTCAGATCGACTCGCGATTCCCTTTCATCAAGGAGGACACCGAGAAGCTCCGGGGCACCATCTACGACAACGCCACCTATCCCGTGCGCCTCGTGGGCGATGTCAAGTCCCACGTATTCGACACCTACGGCTCCGAGTACAAGAAGTGTGGCGGCGACGGTGTGGTGGCCAGCGGCAAGGCGCTGATCACGACCAGCTTGGTCCTGTCGCAGGAGTCACTAGGCCTCCTCAGCTCCTTGCTGCAGGCCAAGAAGGAGCAAGTGAAGGACGTGGTCAACGACAAGACCGATAAGGCCAACAACTAGAGATGGATGGTGTTTAATTTTCAATGGAGGGTTCTTTGTCTAGCAGGCTTTTATGTTTAATTTCTGTTTCTAGAAGGGTGTCTTTATCTGTTTTTCTGCGCAGCTACTTGTATTCATTTCTTTTCATATCTCATGGCCACCGGTTCTTTGATACACTACCCGACCTCTATGATATCAATACCCAATGGAATCTCATCTCGAACCAAACCGTAACCAGTCTACTAACACAAAGCCAATCAACAAGATGGGTTTGAGTCAAAAGCAATATAAACAAAACAAGGAAAACAAACAAACACCAACTTGGGAACCAACGGTGCAACAGTGGGAAAAAAAAAAAAGTTCCATCAACTGATCCTCGCAGATCACATGTGATCGAACATGTGACTGCCTAATCGAGCTCGATCACGGTCCATCCGAGAGAAGCCTAGCGCCATATCCACTCGCGTCGCGTCACTAAATTAGCCAGGATCAATATCTTGATAACTCGATAACGATTCGAATCGACTCGACCTCCATTCAACTCAATATTCCCCCACTCTAACCCAATACACTGAGAAAAGACCTCAAAGCAAAATGCCCCTCATCCGCAAACGCCGTGCCGTAAGCCCTCCCCAATCTAACCCCATCAAAAGAACCACATTGACAAACTCAACCCCAAGGATCCCCCACCCTCAGACTCCTCCGAACCAGACGCATCATCGGGCTCAGAGCCAGAACAAGACCAAGGGCGAACCCCCCAACGCCGCCGTACCTCCAACCACACCCAAGCGTCACCCTCCGATAGCGACGACGATGCAACCCATCACCCAAGCAGCACCGACGTGATGGTGAAGAAGATGGTGCGACTGGCGCTGGCCAGCGAGTATGCGCGGCTGCCGATTCGCCGGACGGAGGTTGGTGTCAAGGTGCTGGGCGAGCAGGGGGCGAGACAGTTCAAGGTGGTGTTTGAAGCGGCGCAGAAGGTTTTGAGGGAGAAGTTTGGGATGCAGATGGTTGAGTTGCCGGTGAGGGAGAGGGTCACGATTCATGATCGGCGGGGTGAGTTCTTTCCCTTCCGTTCCGGGTTGGTTGTGGAGTGTGAATGGGGGCTAATAGACATGGGGAAATGCAGCGGCCCAAAAAGTCGAAAAGCCCTCCTCAACGAACAAATCCTGGATCGTGGCTAGTACATTACCGGCCGAGTACCGACGTCCTGAGATTCTGCCGCCGACCAAAGCCCCGTGGGAGAGTACCTATACTGGATTATATTCGTTTATTATCGCCGTCATCATGCTCAATGGGGGATCATTGCCGGAGCAGAAGCTGGACCGGTATTTGGCGCGGACGAATGCCGATACGTATACGCCGGTTGATCGCACGGATCGGTTACTGGCGCGGCTATGTAAAGAGGGGTACCTGGTTCGAATGCGGGAGATGGATGGTGGCGAGGAGGTGATTGAGTATATGGTGGGACCGAGGGGGAAGATGGAGGTTGGGGCTACAGGCGTGGCGGGGTTGGTGAGGGAGGTTTATGAGGGTGGGAACGCTACGGCGGAGCACAGGGAGGATTTCGAGGGGCGGTTGGCGAGGAGTTTGGGGATGAAGCTGCCTGAACCGCATGAGGAGGAGCAGGAGCAGGACGGGAATGCGGAGGGAGAGGGGACCCGGGAGAGACCGACGCAGAGTCGGAGGAGAGCGGAGGATGAGGAGGATGAGGATACCGATTGAGATTTTTACATAGTGGTCATGTTGATGTTGTATTTATGGCTTTTTGTTTGATACCCCAGCAATGGTACCGATATTGGATGTGGCACTTTCCAATAGTTATTTCATATGAATGTTCTGCCGTCAAAGAGCTAGAAGCAAAAGTTAACTAACCGAACAGATTTATACATCCACACTAGAGCAAGGCGCATATGTAGGGCTGACACAACTTGAGCTCAATATACAGAAACTCCCCAATGCTACTCTCATAACCAGGCGAAGAAGATACCATGGATGCTGACGGAGTCATGCCTCCAAATTGCTGATGCTTGAACGAGAGTATGAATGAGATGGACGGAGTGTTTGTCAACGTGTTCAGTGTCCATGTCTAAGAAATGCCACTGTCTTTGTTGAATCAAGGCTAATGGCAAATATTAATGGCCAGCCTGAAGGGTACATGAGACCCGAAATCTGTTTCAGCGATAGTGATGTGAGGGAATATGTCACTTCACGATTCGAGTTCTCGAGCTTCTTGGCTATCCCAGCCCTGGAGGCTGTCAAGCACCCCACTGACAGCCACCAGGGCCACCAGACCAAGGAGTAGTTAATTATACTTATATTACATTCATGAACCAGGTGGACAGGCAGGTTTCGTATATCGAAAATCTTCCCGCATTGGGTTAGGAGAGCCGGTTGTTTCAGAGTGGGACATGTAATCTTACTCTCGAGCCCTAACTGTCGTCCATCTACCGACGGTGGGTCTGGCATACTTACTGTCTGTTAAGCACCTGCAAGCTTTTCCCACCAATCTTTTACTGATGCCATGGTTGGCCAGCGGCAGTTGATTCCCGGACAGACTCCGTGCATTAATTACAAGGCCCAATATAATAATAGGGGCTGTGAGATCAATGGGGTTTTGCAGTGAACACCGACGTTTAAACTAGACGACTTAACGGGACTTAGCTCAATCAACATGAAACCGAAGCCTTCGCCTTTCTCCATGGCTTCAAACATAGCCTACAAGCCGACGCTTTAAAAGCAAATCACACCCGGTCACTTCGTCTCTTCAATCCATCGCTGAAAGATCTGGAATCTTTCGCCTGGACCATACATTCGTTCATTCATTCATTCGCTCATTGACTTGGCGGGATCCTTGAATTCTTTCACTTCTACATACATCCGTCTTATACCATACCATTTTACCACGATGAAATTCTCTTCTTTCCTGGCTTTGACAGCCTTCTTAACCGGCACTGCCCTCGCCGGACCCCACGGCCAAGGCCTTACAGCTCGGCGCTTCCAGGGCCCCGGCTGGCTCGGCGAAATCGACATTGACAGTCTCTCTGAAGCGCAAGGCGAAGCGCCTAGCGCGCAAATCACCGCCGCACCGCAGGCCAAATCCAAGGCCATCGCTCACAGCCAGGCGCAGTCCGAAGACAGCTACCTCATCAACGAGAACTGGGCGGGAGCGGTGCAGGAAACGGCCCCGGCGGCCAGCGCGACGTACAGCTACGTGGCAGCGACGTTCACGCTGCCCTCCGTGACGCCAACCGCGGCGTCATCATCATCATCATCATCATCCGAAACACAAGCGGCGTCCTTCTGGGTCGGCATCGACGGGGCCACATCCGGCGACGCCATCTGGCAAGCGGGCGTCGACATCTACGTGCAAAACGGGCAGCCGTCCTTCGCCGGCTGGTACGAGTGGTACCCGGCCAACTCGGTGGATATCGACCTGGAGTTCAATTTCGGGGACGTGGTCTTCGCCAGCGTCGAGTCGACGTCGAACAGTGAGGGCGTGGCGGTGATCGAGAACTTGACTACGGGCAAGAATGTCACGGTCACTGCCTCTGCTCCGGCGGCGACTGCTACTTTGACCGGCCAGAACGCGGAGTGGATTCTGGAGGATTTGGCGGTTGATGGTGATGGATTGACGTTTGTGGACTTCGGGGAGGCTACGTTTACGGGGTGTGTTGCTAGGGCCGGTGGGAAAGAGTATGGTCTTGATGGTCGGCTCTCTATGCGGTGCAGGATAGCTCCAGCAATACTGTCCAGGCGGTTCCGACTATTGTTAGTGATTCGGAGTTGAAGGTTACGTATCAGTGATTGTGTGTAGGTGGGGAAATTTAATTCTCTGTTGTTGATATGCTGAGATATGGAAAGGGGCTTGTCTAATTCAACAATTGTATTAGTATGTCTGATTGATTCCAGGAGCAAGCTCTGTGATATACGATGCCCCCCCTGTTTTACTAAACACATAGACATAGTATAACTGACTCTTTGTATATAACGCTTCGAAATAAGGATAAGCACTAGTAGATCGTAAGGCAGCCACTTATCTGGAGGTAGTATAGTGCTTCATAATGGTGTATTGCTCTGTCCACTCTGACTTCGTCGCTCTATATTTTGACCACTTGGAAGTCTCCAAGGAACTGCTGGGTTAGTTTACGCCTTTCCTAAATGGCCAGAAAGTTGTACTCGAGTACAACTTTCAGCCCTTTTTCGCAAGGATCGACGCTGCGCAATGACCCAGTCAAAGGCCACATCGATCGCTTTCTTCTTTGATGCCAAGAGCCTAGTTGCCAAGTCGATGGCCTTCGGCCTTATTGGACGGAAATGAGCAAGGGGGTTACTATGCTTCAGTCTGCTCTGCAAATCGGAAGCTTCGCAGTCGGTTACTGGTATGGGGGATTTAGTAGCAGTGGGTAGCAGTGAGCAACAGTGAGCAACAGCGTAGAGAGTTCACCGATATTCTTACTTCCGGACCCCGGCGCGCCTTAGCCCTGCCTATAATTGAGACATCGTTGATCATATTACCCAAGCTACAAATCAGATGCAGTGCCTCCTCCCCTAAATAAGGGTTAATTTTCGACACCGTGAGCAACAGTGAGTAATAGTCGGGAGTACCAGGGAGAAATAAGGAATAGTAGAGACTATCTTCGTCAGTTATTAATAGGATCGAATAGATTCAGGTGGATATAATTGGGGCAGGAAAAGTAGTGATTGGTAAATGTCTTGCAGGGACTGCAATCAACGGCGACTGAAAAGCGTGGCTTATAAGAAGGATGGAGGTCCTGCGGTATTCAGCCCATTCTGAATCAATTAACCATCCCTCTTACTCACCATGCTGGCCTAAGTGTTCTTTTAATTCTTTCCTGTAGCTGTATCCTGATCTTTCCTTGCCATTGACATGGAGTTTATGCCTGATCTCGCGCTCTCCGAACGGTTGCAAAACCTGAAATGCATCCGGTGTCGAAATGATAAGAAGGGGGTATGTCGCCTTGTGCAGTAAACTACTGTTTCGATTGCCTTTCGTTTAATGGTTGGCAGATGCTAACGATCGTTAAACCAGTGCGTTCTGCCTGGCCGCTCATGCCCACATCAGGAGTGTGATCGTTGTTCCAAGTGCCATAACACTTGCGCAGCTACGATGACCACCAATCAAGAAAAGCAACCGCGTCAAAACACTCCTCCAGAACAGCCACCACCGGACAGGGAAGGACAACACCATCCAGGGCTTCAACTGGCGATGCATGAGGTTCAACAGCCCGACGGGGCGGCACCGGGGAAGGCGGCCGTTGTGACCTCTTCAAATCCAAGGTGTGCCCGTTTCTTTGCTACACTGATGGAAGCTCGCTGGAGGTATTTTGGCCTTTCGTCATTATCCCAGACCACGTTCAACCTAGCCGGGCTGTTTATCGAGCTCGAGGCTTCAAAAGCCAACACTGTCTACTGCACTTTGCAATCTCGCATTGCTATGGTTGAGCTGGGCCGGCAGTATATGACTTCACTCGAATATGGAGTCTCAAGAGGCATGAGCGAGGAGGCTGCCAGAGCGTATATCTCTGGGAAGGTCATGGTTGACCTTGGAATGATAACTGAATGCACTGATACGCGAACCAACGAGGGTGAAATACTCAAATTGATTGAGGAATTTGACAGGAGTATTTCCCGCGCATTGAGATGGAAAGAGCTTTATGACGAGATTGGAGTCCTTGAGGTCTTTCTCATTGGGGGAGAACCTGCGGTCATCGATGATGGAGAGGAAATTCCTAACCCTGATTTCCCCTTTGAGAGTAACGAAGAATATTACTCTCCACTTGACCGACTTCTGCTGCCGACTCTGTGGCTGAAGGAGACTTGCTTGAAGCTCAGTGGAGTGGTGGACATGATTCAGCGTTTACGAAGGCTGGACCAACTGGCGGTACAGAGGGCTTTTCTGGCCGAAGAACTCGAGCGACGCATCATGAGCGTCCTGGGTGGCCCTGAGAATCTGTGTGAGCGTCCTGGAGGCGACTGCGGCTGTTCCGCTGATGACGACGAGAGCATGCCTGACGTAGAGGCATGCTAAGACTTGAACGCGACGATACTCGACTTGTCTTGAAGCACCGGTGTGCCTAAAATGTGATATATGCTATGGGGGCATACCTTTTTAGCTTTCTACAGTTATACTGCCCCCCCTTCCCCCCCTAATAGGATGAGTCGCTTGGTCTATTCGTCCAGAGTCGCTTCTAGAGACTCTTTTGGCAGGATGGTTGTTCGGCTTAGTGGTGGAAAAAAACTGAGGACGAAGAATTGCGTGTATCTAGTTTAGCCAGGGAATATTCTTTTTCATTTAATCCGTTATTTTACTCTTACTTTATTATTCCTCGAGCCCTTGAATAGGAGACCTAAACCTTGAGGGCCGTTACTTGCATCATGTTTGTAAGGCCTCCATTTTCTCTGAATGAGAACGTCTGCGGAGAAAACAAAAAATAGAGTACAGCCCTCTCTGGTTCTGTAAGTAATCCTTCTTAGTTACACCGATATTGGGTCCAGCCTTATTCGTGCTTCTTTGTTGTCTCCTTTGTTGCTTGGGCTAAGACATGGCCTGGAAATTAACACAACGCTCCTCCCTTTACATCTGTCCTTAGAAGAGCTGTCCCACCAGATGAAGCTTAGACATTGCCTATTCATCGGTATATCATCTGCGCCGAAGTCTCAGTTCGAACTAGAGTTTGCTTTAGCGATAGGAATAACAGCAAGATTCATGCCGAGGGACTGCGTTGCAGCCTCAGAGAAACCCTAGTTTGGCTTCTTGCGAGGGCAATACTGTAGATAGGGGGACAGTTAAGATGTAAGCTCATCTCTAAGCCTTACTCATGGTTGTGCTTGTTAAATTGACTGCGCATATAGCATATCCCTGGGCAGTCACCCTTCCAAAGCCCTCCAGCGACAATCAGATGCAGCAGTGGTCTACATCTGCATGATACATAAGCTATTCGAAAACTTTACTGGACTGATCTGCCGACATCGAATAGCAGCCTAAGGAATAGACTCTACGAGAAATCTTGTTCAAGGCCGGGCGCAGCTCTTTGATAGAGCGGTGATTGAAGCTTTGGCCAGGCATGACCTACATTCTCGACAGGTCAGATGACCAGCTCACAGGATGAGAATGGCTTAAAGATGAGGCATGATGAACGACTCTGATTCCAAGGCAAGGAAAGTACGGATGTCAGATAGCTCATGATGTCACCGTTTGTGCTGACGGCCCTGAGAACTCGTGGGTATAAAAGATGCTGATATTAACTTAGCAAGGATTACCTACGCCAAAAGCGTTGGGTATCAGAGGAAATCCTCAGGCGAATGGATTTGACACAGCACCTCCAATGAAGAATGTTCGGTCATTCTCGCTTACCAGCGCATAGAAACGGTCGTTATAGGGCAATGCGCTCAGATGAATGATGAAACGATGGCGAGGAGGATCGGGTCGTATCCAATGTCTACGATATCTGGATTGCCCAACTTCGAGTTTTCCATCAGGTTTCAAGCGATAGTTGGGTAGTCTTGATCAAACACCTTGTTAGGACCATGATGGCTGATTCGCTTCCCACGACTATGCTCGCCTGATGTTGTCCACGTAGCGTGGCGCAGCCGCAGCCCTCACAAGGCGATTATCTGAACCTTTGGATTGAGGGTACCTCATCCATAAGGCCCACGTCCTCGCTGTATGTCTCAGCTGAAGCATAGTCTATGTTGACCTCAGTATCCTATTCCATTCCGTTATGATGGCTTCCTGGAAAGAGAAGAGAAACAAGAGCGCTATGAGAAGATTTCGAGGAACGATTCGACCTCAGCGAATCATCCCACCAAGTAGAGGTGAGAGAGGTGCGATAGATGAACGAACGCAGGGGTAACATAAATGGTAGATCACGGCCTCCTAGACACGGCTGCACATTCATCTGTCATTTCCGTGTTTCCCGCTTGCTGCCAGTCGACAACACGGATTAGCCCTAGCATGCTGTGGTACAGGGCATGGCTAAATCGACGGGCCTCGCAGCTGTCATTGGATCTTGCAACGGCTTTGCCAGCTTTAGCGGAAGTGAATGGATTGGTCGAAGGATCCAGTCTACTTAGAGTGTATCTCGGAATTGCGCGAATAATGAAAGAAGGCAAAGCCCCAAGAGTTGATGATATCGTGGCGCAACTGCAGTCGTCGCATGTATTCCGTGTGGTACCTGTGGAGCAGACATGCTTTCAGCGTGTGCTTGTTTTCACTGTTTTAGGATGACAAACAATGTTATGGGAGTCAACGTGGGACCCGGCCAATCCTGCGCAGATGACAGTTGCACAACTGACGGACGGTTACGAGAGTCGGACTTTCATGGCGTATACTCAAGATCATCGATGCGCTCGGCTCCCAATGCACGAGTTCCTTCTTGGCTTCGGGTACTTACGCCCAACGAAAAGCACAGACTGTCAGAGTCCCGAGAGCTTTGCGACAGTTCATGCCAAGCAGTTCAATATGTCCCTTCTTGCAACCATTGGCGGGATTCAAATTAGGTGGATAGACACACTGGGCGCCCATCTGGAGTTTGATCACCGTACCAAAACATTGTTCCTCTTTCGGTTTCCTTCGTTTTGCGCAGCAAATCTCGAGAAAGAATCATCGGGCGAGAAATGGGTGCGAGGAGTCATACATGGGTATGTATTTGCTACTCTCGCGAACCCTGATGCCCGTGTCGTATGGCTTACGGTAAACTGTTTCTGAAGCTGTACCGTTCCAGCTGGCGATCCTACCAACTGGGCCACCGCTGAAGATGTGACAAGCTTCCTATATGAGGTCATCCTATCATATCGGCTACTTTTTGGACTCTCAGCGAAGGGGCGACAATTCTACCGATCACTACGTCCATTTAGTGACCTTCCGCCTGACCAACATGATCCCCTTCTTGGGGAACTATGCAGCTCCCGGACTCTGACAACAATATCCGTTGACCACCATGAAGACGTTTTTAGTCTTGTCTCTGACTTTCCGATTCTCCACGGCCGATTTGAAACCCTCCAAACGCATCTGGCATGCCCGAAGGCACGGGGCCTGATACAGTTATGGCGGGACAAGCGAAGTACGGAAGCATGGTATACGTTCTGGGCTGTTGTGCTCATTGGAGGGGTCGGATTGTTCCTCTCATTCGTTCAGACTGTTCTTCAGATCATGCAGGTGCTGTATAGTGTGCCTTAGAACTAGGGGGACGGGTAAACGACGCAGGTGTACTAGATGGGAAGGCGTGATATGTTGGTTAATTGTTTCCGAGTTCACGAGCAGCTCTCTAGCATGAGCACTGTATTTATGGATCATTTTTCTGGCAAAATATCACTGTGACATATAGAACGTGTTATAGAACTGAAACGTGTTGCAGCATTATCATCGCATACACATCCAGAGAGCTCTTGGAGACCCGGCGTAGGGTACTGTGCTATGTGGTTGCGAGCAGCTTGGATAATCACGTATGGCGCACCCTCGCGGACGATGACGAAGCGGCGTATACACAGCTTGTGGCGTGGCTACTTTGGTGATAGATTTTGCGTATTCTTACTAGCCTATGCCAATTAATTTTCACCATTATGGCTATAGCACTAATCGGCAGCTCTACTACTAACGACCGTAGTTTGCGTTGTTTTCAAGATACCTCCCACCACGCGCCTTTCTGGAGACATTTCGGCACCCACATTCTCGTCAATCTCACTGCTACTCTCAAGCCTCCCCCTCTCGGCATGAGCCGTGAACGATACCGTTGCTCCGTACGGCGTGAGCTTCACTTCATCAGACTGGCTGCGCGTAGACACGTCATGGCTGTGCAACTCCTCGATCCCATACTGGTCCCGTCTGTGTATCGAGAACACCCGACGACTACGCCTGCTGCTGGTCCACCGACCTGTCGATCTCCTTCCATATAGTCCGTGTGAGCGCGAGCGTGACTGCGTGTATTCGGATAGTTTGAGAGCTCTCGTGGCAAGAGGCTTAAGGGACGGGACGCAGGCGGTCAGGATTCCAACATTGAATTGGGCACTGGAGATCAATAGTCAGTCATCTTGTCTGTAAGGTATATGGAGTGCAAAGGAGAGAGAAACGTACAGGCCCCAGAAGAGAATGGAGTCATTGCTGGAAGGAACGGGGCGTTAGCATGTCATGCACATGAAGTTGGACGGTGATGTAACTTTGCAACGTACAAGAAGATGTCCGTCTCATTGGGGTATGCGAGTTGCGCTACTGCTTTGATGACGCCGAGACCAACTGTGCTGTTTATTTTTGTTAATTGGGGGTGTTTTTTTCTGATTGGAGATGGAACGGGGGTACAGACAAGTAGCCGAGACTGAAGACGCCGATTAGATACATGCGGACTCGGCGTTTCATGCGCAGATTCCAGACGATCGGGATCGGGATCGTTGCGAAGAGGACGTCGGTGAAGATGTTGAAGGCTGTCACTGGATTGGCGGAGAGGTTCTTGGATACGCGTGGTCATAGTGGAGACATACATGTATTTATTAGCGCGAAGACGACGAATAGGTGTACCGAGTAGCACTTCGCGTCTTTGATGCGCGTATCCCAATGTGCCTGCATTGGTTTGCAGTGGAGGAAGAATGTCATTGCGCCCATGAAGCTGTATGCGGCGACGAATGCTGTCGAAGTCATGATTAGCCTGCCCCTATATCTCATATGAACGAGAAGCCTGGCATACCAATACTTGTCCATAAAGACATGGTGTACCATCGGGTCGGGCTGAACCGCAGCAAATTCAAAGCGATAGATATCTTGAGCAAGGCGATCCCGGTAGCCGAGCAGATAATGACCTGCCAGAACGCCGCTTCGCTCAACTTCATTCTATCCATGTCGCCTAGGAATTTGATGTGGTGGCCTAGGCCGTGACATGCCTTGTAGACGTAGAGAACCCAGCCGCCGAGGGAGCAGAGCTGTGCAAGGTTCGTTAGTAATTCTGCGGTGCGCGGTGTAGTGCACTGAGTTCATTCGAAGTATTCGATTTTAATGCGACGCTCAAAAGCAAGACAATGTAGAGAGAAGTGCATACCGCCGCGAGAGCCATAGTCCAGTCATCGCACCCGGAACTCCTGACAATCTTCACCCGAACATATAGACGGAGACAGACGACAACAACGGCCAAGACCGTCAGTGCCGTCTGCACCCCGATAATGATACCGAGATGGCTCTCATCAGCCACCACATCTCTGGGGTTGCCCGTAGGTGTCGGCATTTAAGGAGGGATTGAGGTTGTTACAGGAACCGACATTGAAGGCGTGGCAGGTGAGAAGAGACACCTCATCATCGGAGATGTGTAACTAGGGCCAACATTGTTTCTTTCGGTTGTCGCAGGGATTTAGATTAGAGGGAGGGTAGGGGAAGGCCCTGCAGAGAGGCATGTGCGAATGCCGGTAAGCAGTGGTTACAATGGATACGACGGAGGCATGGAATTAATCAAAGTTTCTCGGCCGCGTTGTAGTTTGCCTCGTAGATGCTTGGATTTAGATCCTGGTCGTTGATTGGATTTCTACATGTGTACGTGGCTATCTGGTATTTAGCCGATTCCAGGACGTTGAGGACACGCTCTCTGGAACCTAGTCACACCATAGTTTGACTCTCGTTTGTGATATGCCAGTATACAAGGAAACAGCACCGCACGATCATTTAGACCGAGATTAATAGACTCGGGGGCTTTGTTTTGGGGGGGGGGGAGGGAATGACACTTTTCGGTAGAGCGAATATATGGCAAGCCTAGAGGTAGCCCTAGCCTCTCACCTCCGACACCAATGAGAATGGACTACTCCAGCCCAGTTACCTAATTTTGGCCCCATCAGCAATCAGTATCATCCAAAGATCTTTCACCGTACTCCGTCCTCCTTACGTTGCCGTCCATCTCGGTCCGAGCTTCCCCGGTGTTATGGTGGATCCACTGCCACGGCCGGTTCTCTAGTTGTCCCGTAGGATAGTCCCACGCCATGATCCTACTGTCTCGGATTCTGCGGGACAGAACACGGTTCATTATGCGGCTAAGCATGTCGAGACCTGCAACGATAGGGTAGAGTAACGAGACTAATACCGATCCCTGTAAGGGGCTGTTGGCCCAGAATAGCCTAAAAACTGGTCTAATTTACCGCACAGGGCGTGCTAGACAGGTTTAAACAAAGGTCTCCGCGCTACTTATATGAAAGCTGGGCCGACTGTTTCACCATATTATAAACTAAAATGTCGCTTAACGGATATATATGGCCCGGCGGCAGGCCGTGCTGTAAAGTTGGGGACACTATGCGTTTAGTATTATGCACCGCTCTTTAACGGCCCATTGCCCTCAATATCGGTAGTCGACCATGGACGAGACTGCCGTTCACCATGAAATGTAATATAGTGAGGGTCGCCCCCTATGACAATTATATAGCGCCTGCCGCCACCTTCTGGTCAGATTAGTTCCTCACATTGAACCTAACGATCGGCGGTGCCCCTCCTTGCAAAAATTGAATTTCCAGCTTCCTGGGAAGCGGCATACTCGTCAAGATGCTGTCCCTGACAACATCCATCTTCGGCCTCTTAGCTGCAGTGCCGCTGGTCGCAGCGGGCTCATCACCAAATGTCCTCTACAAAGATGTTGTGGTTGTGGGTGGCGGTGCCTCTGGTGCCTACGCTGCCGTTCGTATCCGGGACGACTTTGGCAAAAGCATCGCCCTCATTGAGAAGCAGGATATCTTGGTGAGCAGACGAAGCCCCTAGCATCAATTACAAAAGCACGCGACAATGGCAATTTGAAAGCTGACGCGTCTTGAATGGGCAGGGTGGCATGGTCGACTCGTACACCGATCCCAAGACCGGCAAGCCCTATAACTATGGTGTGATGACATTCCTCGAAGCTGGAAACGCAACAGGCTTCTTCGATCGCTTTGGCATTCCCGTTGCAACCCCATCGACCGTCAGCGTCTCCACGGACTACATCGACTTCAAGACCGGAAATCCTGTCAACTTCACACTGCCGCCGATAGCAGACCAGATGGCGGCGATGGCCAAATTCCTCGAGATTGTGGAGCCGTGGGAGCATCTCATGCAACCTGGGTATGGCAACTTCCCAGAGCCAGACGCAATCCCGGAGGACCTTCTGATCCCCTATGGCGATTTCATCACCAAGTATGGCTTGGAAGCCGCTATCCCCCTGATGTATCAGTCTACCGGCCTGGGACTGGGCAACATGGCGAAGGAAACTACCATGTTCGTGCTGCAGGGTTTCGGGGCCTCCATGGCGCGCGCGTTCGTGGGGAAGCAAAATCAACTCGCGCCCTCCTCGGGTCGGAACCAGGACTTGTACGATGCCATCGCGGAGGATCTCGCCGACGACGTTCTGTACTCCAGCACAGTAATTGAGAGCCACCGCAGCAACTCCAGCGTCATCCTCACGGTCAAGAACCACAAGACGGGTGAAACCACCCGGATCCACGCTCGGCGTCTCTTGCTCGCCATCGAGCCAACCGCAGCCAACATGGCTCCGTTCGACCTGGACCGCAACGAGAAGAACGTTCTCTCCAGATTCACCTACACCAACGAGTACACCGGTATCGTGAACAACGCGGCCTTTGCCGTCAACCAATCCTATTTCAACCTGCCGCCAACCGCCGCGCCGAACAACTACCTCGCCCTGCCCGACGCATCTTTCACAGCTCGCATTGACTACATCGGCGGCGACAACCTGTTCCGAGTAACCATTGTCGGCAACAACACTCTCGACACGGCGGGTGCTAAGAGACTGGTCCAGAACGACTTCAACACACTGCTGCGCTCGGGTCGCCTGGCGGAGACGAGCGACGGCGAGCCGCTGAGCTGGGTGGACTTTGCCACCCACGGCCCCATGCACGCGCGCGTTTCGGTCGCGGATGTCAAGGCTGGCTTCTTCCAGAAGCTGAACGCTCTGCAGGGTGGTCGGTCGACCTGGTGGACTGGTGGTGCTTTTTCGGTTAACTTCCAGACGACGCTGTGGGAGTTTGACGAGCTTCTTTTCCCGGAACTCCTTCAGGGGCTGAACTAAAAGGCTTTCCCGGAGTTGTGATCCAGGTTGCTCCGGGTGTACACGAAGCATCTAGCACCTGTGTCCGAATAACTTCATGTTGTATAGTATTAGGCTAGCGAGTAGCATAATTGTAGAGGATTGAACGAATGATCTGTACATAGTATATTCAATGCACTGAAGCTTAGTTAGCATGTTTTGGTCTAGGAATGTGGTAGCTGGGTCATGATTGTATATCCAGGTCTAGGTCTCAATTATCTACCCAGGTTTTCGGCTCGGTGAAGACACATGATAATCGTTGACGCCTTCATCCCATTATAGAACATAGACAATAGTATAAATCGTGTCTGATAGGCAGGAAGTGCTACACTTACGGGCGGCCATATACTATTCATGTAACTTGTAGGATTGTTAGTTACAATATACCACGGCCTGATATCCAAGGCTCTCACTCGGGAGGACTTAACACTAGCCCCTATCAGGCTAGCTTGAGTATCGTGACCAGCCACGCCGCCGAGAAGCTTCCCTCTTCTGCCATACTACTTCCAAGCATAGAATCATCATAGAACAGAATGGGATGCTCTCGCAGATATCATTCCAAGTCTCGGAACGGGTGTTCACAGTGTAAGAAGAGGAGAGTCAAGGTCGGTGTGCCCCGTCGACCGTGACGTCTCCCTCTCCGCATCTAGCTGCATTTGCACTGGCTATAGAGGAAGACGTTGACCACATGCTGCGATGCTTGTTCCAAGCGTGGGGTGAGATGCGAATATGAAGGCCGATTTTCGGACAGTATGACCATGCCGCTCAACAATGCGGCCGGTACCACTTATACTTTTGTCCAGGATCAGCGCAATGCTCCCAGGTCCCCGCCAGTGTCGCTCCGGTGTAGCCCTCAACCTGTCCAGACGGGTGACAAAGTAATCCATCCTGTCAGGCGCCCGAGAGAGCTTCTGGGGAATATGGCAACGAGCACCCGGCCGATAGACTATGATTTGTTCCACCACTACTTCACCGTCACCGTCTCGAGCATCACCCCGGTTGAAGAACGGCGGCAGCTGATATGGACAGACCTCGTCCGCAACTGTGCTCAATCGTGTGGACACATTAAGTACGCACTTCTGGCGCTATCTGCACTACATCGCGCCTCGGTCTGTCCAGGTCATCACCAGAGATACCTCCATTTCGCCACTGTGTATCAGTGTGAAGCTATATCTCTATTTCGCTCTGGGTAGATGCGTTCCACCCTGGGAATCATAATGTCGTGTTCTGTTTCTCTGCATCATGCATGATTAACGAATTAGGGCTGATGAGTCTAAGGACTGATCCAGTGAGCGCTAGGCTACACGAGGTCGATAAACTAATGCACATCATCTTGATCCGAAAGTTCGTTACTTTGTAGCAATCAACCCCTACGTACTGGACCTCAGATCTCGTGCAGCTTATGCATAGCTCGCTACATACTTCGGAGACCGATACTGCCTCATCAGGTATGTCAGCGGTGCTACAATCTCTTGTGGATTTGAATGAGAGACACACAACCGACCCCGGCGAACGCCAAACGTATGCCTACAACATCTGGGTCCTTCAAGCGAACTCACGCCTGGTAGCCAGTAAGCGAGGCGAGTGGTTCTCGTCATTGATGTGGGCAGTCCACATCTCATCGGAATACATCGAGCTGGTGCACGCCAGACGACCACTGGCACTTCTGATCTTGGCGCATTATTGCGCCTTTGCCATGAACTACGGCCCGCTAGGAGGGACCTTAACTTTGACGAGGATGTCACAATCCACAAAGGGCAACGCGTGTGTGTAGACAGCTACAATATGATGAACCCCGACATCTATGACCAGCCGAAAAAGTACGATGCGTACCGCTTTTTGCGAATGCGCGACAAGCCAGGCTTTGAGAACAAGGGACATCTAGTGGCCACCACCCCTGATCACCTGTCCTTCGGTCATGGCCAGCACGCCTGTCCGGGCCACTTTTTTGCTGCAAACGAGATGAAGGTGGCCCTGTGTCACTTGCTCTTGAAATACGATTGGAAGCTAGCGTCGGGCTGTTCTGTCGATCCGACGGTGGTTGGGGTTTCTCGAAGCGTTAACCCGACGACTCGGCTTCTGTTCCGACGGCGTGAGGAAGATATCCCCTTGGCGTCGTTGGGATTCGACGACGATGTGCTACAGTAGCGATGCACAGGACTCTCGTCGTGCTGTCTACTGTTGTCGGAGAACAGTAAGTTTAGGCGAACAGGATCTACGCTCGTCCGTCGCAAGCCACATCCGATGCGTAAATTGTACCTCCCCTGGCTTACCGCGTCCGCCTGTGGATAGCTTGGCTGACAGGTTATCAGGAACGGCTCGATTGGTACAATTCTTGACTTTTCTTGAAACTTGTTTTGAACATTTGGCTGTAATATTCAGTACACTCAAGAAGCCGGCGGATAAACTAGTACATCTACGTAGGTTTTCTCTATACCTGGGTCTAATTTTGCTCGAGACTCTTGCGCTAGTTTGTTCAGCATCTTCTTGAGCTCCGAGACCGTCCACCATCAAGGCCAATGCGTGGCTTATCTCTCCAGCCTGATCTCCTGGCGTGCACGATCCTTTACCCCTCACCTCGTTTTTTCGATTTAATGCGGGCTAGCCGCGATCAGCTGATGATACGATCTCCACCAGAGCTCCGACATTAAGGCCATCCACTCGCTACCCTTTTCTTTCCACTCCTCCCAAGCTTTTCGGAGTTCATAAGTGAAGCCCTAAGCTATCATGATGGAAACACAGAGCGATCCAGCGACCACACTAAATGAGTCTGGCAGAGAGGAAGGGCATATACAGAGTGAAACAACACCGCTCCTGCAAAAACGGGCCAGCGACGTCACCGGCAAGATAATCAGCACTAATGTCGCCCTTCTAATTGCCGGTCTAAACGGTACTGAGACATTGCTGTTCACTCGTCTTCAACACAAGAACTAACGACAAGCAGACGCCTCTTTGGGAGTCTTAATCCCCTACATTCTACAAACCTACGGCGTCACCCTCTTTCAGCTCTCCCAGATCTACCTCGTAAACTGTGCCGGCTGTCTCACAGCTTCCTTCTCCAATATCCATGTGTGCTCGCGCATCGGCACGGGCGGTACATTGGTGCTAGGGGCAGTGATCCAAACATGTGGGTTCTCATTGATGTACTGGAATCCGCCCTTTGGACTATTTACCGCTGCCTTCTTCTTAAATGGTATGGGCAGTGCCTATCAAGATGCTCAGGCGAATACATTCACAACCACCGTGGACAATGCGCATCGCTGGCTGGGAATTTTGCATGCAGTATACGGCGTCGGGACAATTATCTCACCTATCGTTGCTAATGTGATTGCCTCGCGGACGCCAATTTGGCAGGACTTTTACTTCGTGATGCTGGGCTTGGGGCTGTTAAATTTGTGCCTTTTAAGGTGGACGTTCCGAGAAGGTCTATTCCAGCCCAACAAGAGAAACGCGAGCGGCACAGCCGGCGGGGAATTGAAAGCCACGCTGTCCAATAAAGCGGTTTGGATTCTAAGCGGATTCTTCTTCTTGTATGTCGGCGCGGAGGTTACGTTCGGGGGTGAGTAATTTTCTCATGGACCTAATTAGCAATAAAAACCCGGGAAAGGACATATTAACGATGTTAGGTTGGATGGTTCAATTCATCGTCTCCGTAAGAAACGGTGACCCAAAGCAAGTAGGCTACATAGCTTCCGGGTTCTGGACGGGGTTCACACTAGGCCGTGTGGCTCTCGCAGACATCACACACTATTTTGGAGAACGTCGGATGGTGTTCGTGTACCTCGCTTTAGCAATTGCCATGCAGCTCCTCTTCTGTCTGGTTCCGAACATCATCGTAATTGCTATCGCGGCTTGTTTATTAGGTAGGTTGTCTGGGTCAGGTTGGTTCCTCGACTGGCTGACGGGTCAATGTACAGGATTCTTCATGGGTCCGTTCTATCCCATCGGACTCTATGTCCTTACCCAGGTGGTGCCGGAGGATCTTCGAATTGGCGCCTTAGGTGAGCTGTTGTTTCTATCCCGAGTGGGAATAGACGTACTTATGCTTGTTGGCAGGGCTCTCGGCGAGTTTGGGACAGGCGGGCGCCGCCGCCTTCCCTTTCATGACGGGCGCTATAGCTTCCCGGGCTGGTGTCCAGGTTATGCAGCCGATCATGCTGGGTTTACTCATTGGGATTGGTTTGTTCTGGGCTTTTCTTCCTAGACAACGGGCAATTAGCCTTTAGATGCCCCATATCTCAAGTCATCTTGTCGTTACAATTGGACTAGAGGAGGATGAAATCATCTGGTAAAGATATGCTATTGAATAACGGTCGTAGAAAGCTTGCGGCGAGCAGACGACGGGATAAATATAATGGCAACTTTTGGCTAGTATAAAACAACTAGGTCAAAAGTATAAACTACAACACCCCGGATTCCGGTCTCTGGGGTGCTATTCTTAAATCTCAATATCTCAACGCGATGAAAGGCCCTTGAGCTTAAAATAGGTTCTATAGACTTTGAGGCTCGGTATCAAGTATATCATCCGTTCATGTCTGCGAGATAGTAGAGATTTGCCGTTCATCAAGGTACGCAGTAATGTGCAAAACGCAAATCTGCATCCATATACATACCATAGCAATCAGCCCGTGTCCTGTTTTGTAAGGAAAGCTGAGGAGCAGCCCCGTGCTCCATTTGGAAAATGAGCGAAGCCATTGCAAACATATCCGACGCTTCGGACAAGACAGGCGAAGGACCGGCAACGGGAAGTGGGAGACCCGGAAAAACCAGGTTGGGTTGCCCGCGAGGACTGGCGGCATTACAATTGCAAAGAATGGCCGAAGCCTTGTTGTGAACAAGGATGTTATCAATGCGGACATCTGCATACACGATTCCAAGACTGTGCAGATGGCACAGAGCATCTGTGATTTCACGGTATACTTTAATTCGGCGGGACTGTGGAGACATTATGTCTCCTGCCAAATGTTGTTGATACTTGCGGAGATATACCCCCTTGGGTTGATCGGTGTCAATGGCTTCTATGATATGGGGATGTGAATTATTTTCAATCAGCTGTAGGACAGTGCGCTCGTCTTTTAACAAGTTAAAGTGAAATATTGTTTCTGAAGCGTAATACCAACGATCGCGCTGAGAGGTGTCGCTGCTAGGGGGGTTCGAAAATTCGACAGCTGTTGAGAACAATGCGGTCATTAACTTTGTAGACTTGACCTGCAGCTCCTACCCCAACTATTTCGATGTCATGCTGAGGGTTTAACCGTACAGTGTAGGTTTCGCCTATCGAAGTGCTTGAGGGCGCGTCGGATGGTGTATTCGACTCGAGGTCGTTAGGCGTTTTGGGTGCGGGTGGATGATTGTGTATGAAACGAGATGTTTTGTTAGAAAGAAAGCCTGGTACGTGAAATGACAAGTGGCAGCGTGCTTTCCCTATGTTTGAGAGCCAGATCCAACGGTATAGCAACATCCTGAAGTTACCATGAAGGAGGGGAGGGAGGGCTGACAGCATCGGAGTTTCAGGGGTTAGGTCACACCACACACGTTCCACAAGCATATCCTTTCATAGCTAGACTACTATATGCAACGTATGCTAGTATACATATACGCCTACATGCAGATCTATCAGCGAGACTACGAATTACACCTTTGAACCACCAGAAGCGGAAACCACACAACAGAATGAAGAAAGAGATCCAGAAACGTGACCATTGAAGCCCTAACATGCCAAATCCCCTCTATTGAGAGTCTATATACAATGCTGAAACACAAACATCACCAGCTCGTCAACCCTTTCATCCGATCAAACCCACCCCTCAACTGCGAATCCGGATGAACCACTTTCCCCTGAAGAATCGTATACTTAACCAGCCCCTCACAATGTTCAGGCTTGACCCTCCCCAACCAGATCATCTGCTGTTCCTTCTTCCGATAAATCAAAACATTGGCAGCAAACTTATGCCCGCCAACATGAGAAACAAAGTAAATCCCCACTCCACCGGGCCGCTCATCATCGAGGTCGCGGTATAATCCGTGCCCGCGCAGATGGCGCTCCAGCTCCTTTTTGATCAACGGTGCCGTGATGCCACAGCGGGCATCGCGCCGTTGATGTGAACAGAGGAGGACAACGTAGTCATGTGGACATGGTCGTGACGACAGCCGGGATTCTTGCTTCGGGTTATCAATAAACGTATCGACCACATGTCTCACATCGCCATAGGCAACGCCATCCACGAAAGTAAACGAAGGTAGAAGTAACACCGTCGTCTTCCCCGAATCAATCTGCCCGTTTTCACTCTCTGGTGGTGTGAGGTTCGATGCGGAAACCATGATTCTCTATACCACGATCAACATACAGGCCAAATAACAACCTCGACAGTCACTAAAATATAGATAAAGACTTACTCCCTGCTTCGACTTCCCCCCATCAGACTTGAACGCCTCCATCAGACTCCCCTTCTCCTGCTCTACCTTCCCGACCCAGTCTGTCTTCCCGGTTGCGACGAGGACATGCGCATGGAATTGCTTGATGTACCCGTACATCGGGAGTGTGTTATCGACTTTCACCTTGGACGGCCACTTGACCGTGCAATCGGCGCAGTCTTGGCGACATTCCTCACCATCGATTTTAGGGTCGACGGTGGGGAAGATGTACTCTGGGGAAGCAAGTTTGGTGAGAGTGAGGAGGGAGCGAAACATTTTGTATGAATGGAACTATTATGTCACTGAAAAAGGGACGACTATGATCATAATATATTATAATAAATATTCTTTGAGATTGGATAGGGCTGCTATCCGCCTGATATATGGTCAGATTACGCGTAATATTACTCAGATCTTATAGCTGGATATAGCAATGACATTTGACCATGTTTCTTTGTTATAAGCTTGCCATGGCCTGGACCAATGGCAAGTGTTATAAAGCGAGTGTTGGGCGATTGTATACTCGGTTCCCCCTTCGGAGATAGGTCGCCAAGGACCATTTTCGTCCGAAGACAAGGCTTCACCGAGCCACTCGGCTCCGATGTTTCGGGAATTTATCCTCACGGGTCTTTGGTGCCTGGAGGTGGGGCTGGAGAGAAGACGTGTATGCCGGTAGAATGGCATGTTGGTTGGCTGGGTCAAGTATTCATTGGAAAGACTTTTCTTAGATTTAAATAACCAAAGTGCGTACCACCATTTATTTTACAGACTACTGAACGGGGTAAATAAATAGAAGGTATGAGAAGTTTAGAACTAGCAAGCCGTATATACGCCAAACGCCGCTGAGTCAGGCCTGCCTGTAACTGCATGTAAAGAGTGTAGCGGCCTCCCGTATATACGGAGGGCCGGTAACCTCGATAGTAAACCCCCTTCGCCCACCGCCTCTCGCCATTCGAATTATACAAAACCAATTACAACAAAAACCCCGAAACCTTCCACGCCCGAATATATTTCATGACCAGCTCGCGGTCAATCGGACCCAAACTTCTCAACGTCGCCGAATGCTCCTTGCTGTGTGTTGTATCGAGGATCATTCCCCCACAGGACATGCGCAGAAAGTCTGTCTCAAAAAAGTCGATAAGCCGCACCGCTGGGTTCTCCGATGTCGCAATGTTGGGAGGACAGCTACGGACACGCTGGAGCCATTCATCGTATGGAATGATCTTGGTTGATGGAATGTCCAATGCATCGGAGAGGATTGAGATCATCTCGGGCCAGGACTGTCTCACGGGATTCTCGATGTGGTAGATTGGATACGCAGGTTCGTCTCCTAGTAAGAGATCTCCAAGTGTGCCGGCTACGTCGTTGACTGGGCACCATGACAAGACCTGTTGACACCGTTAGCAAAGATAAGTGAGAAGTAGGGTCAATAGAAGAACATACACCGTCGAGATCCGGGAGCACGCCGAGGGACTGCGACGACTTGAACAAGTGTACCAGGTGCTCCACCGGATTCCAGTACCCGTTGACCTTGGAGCCGGAGATTTGCCCGACCCTCACGGACATGGTGCGGAAGTGCTCTGGATGTCTGTGCAGCGTCTCATCCAGCATCTTCTCACAGATGAGCTTGGCGTCTGCGTACCCCATCGGCAGGGCAGAGGCTACGTCGACTCTCTGCTCTGGGACCCGAGCCTTGTTGGCCAGGAAAGGGTGACAGCCCACAACGGACACGGAGGAGACGAATTGGAACCCGATTTTCTGCATACCCGGTCGCCGTTGACAGGCAGCGTCGCGGCAAAGATCGATCAAATTGCGAATGGCCTTGAATTGGGGCTCGAAGCCACGCGCTGGGCGGGTCATGCTCATGGCCCATGCGTTGTGGACGACGTCAGTGACACAATTGACTAAATGCTGATACTTGGTGACGGAAAGCCCGAGCATGGGCGCTGAGGAGTTGGTTTCAATTGCTTCTACTTTCGACACGAGATTTTGATGGAGCTCCAAGCCCCTTGACTGCAGCGCCTCAAGTTGGCGAGTTGTCGCGTCTGAGCCACTCACTCGGTTTAGACAGATGACTTTGCGAACGTCTGGTTGTGCGGCGAAATGGGCAACCAGATGAGATCCGAGACTGCCGGTGGCACCGGTCACCAGCACACAGCGAAAGGAATCATTATTTGTTTGGGATGTTGAGAGCGAGGTAGGGGCGGTAAAGTCGAGGGTGTGTTTCTGGACTAAGGAGTCCACTACCACTTGACGCGCAGCAAAGTCAGCCGTGGAGATCGAAGGAGCTGGGGGACATATAGATACCAAGTTTTGGCTTTGGGGAGACGCAAGAGCGATGATAATGCGCTGGATCGAATTCTCGGGGAGCTGGCCATCGGACCAGTCGACATGGCCGTATCCGTTGGCACGCAATGTCCGCTGCCAGAGGTCGGGCTGAGCGAGGGCATGGGTGCGGCCGTCATTGAACAGCCACCAGCCTTCTACCAGTCCAAACACTGAATCGACCCATGGCACGGCCTCGGTCATTTCCAGCATGATGAGGAAGCCGTCGGGACGAAGGATTCTGTGGATGTTCTTGGTGGTCACCGCCAGACTGTGAGTAGCGTGTACACAGTTCGTTGCCAGGACCACGTGCTGGGTTTCGAGAAGCTTGGTGGGTGGGGCTTTCTCGATATCAATAACCTCGAAGCTCATCCAGGGGTAGTTCTTGAAACGTTTCCGGAGGCCTGCCACCAGTGAAGGTGAGATGTCGGTGGCGGTATAGCGGACGGGGACACCAGAGCTGGCGAGCAGTGGTAACAGAGCTGCCGTGGTGCCGCCCGTTCCGGCTCCCATTTCCAAGATATTAATCGGCTCCTGTTGCTGTTGTGGGAGCTGGGCTATGAAGCGCTGCCAGAAATGCTGGAGCTGACGAAGCCAGGCCACATTGATTGGTGATTTTCCGTACATACCGGCAGCAAGCTCACGTCCTTCGGCGCTGCCAAAGAGCAGCTGAATGGCTTCTGTTTTACCACTCAGGCAGTCTGCGAGTCTTGATCCGGTCAGACTAGTGAGCTTGTGATCATAGGAATGCTCGGGATATTCGCGCAGGAGTTCTTGGAGCAGCTGCAGAGCGGACTTGGTTGGCAAAGGTACAGCTGTGCGAGTCATTGTCAAGCCATCCAAGTCGACCAGGCGAGCCTTCTCCAATAGACCAGTCAAAACAGCCATGACCTTGTCATGCTTGGGAAGATGGGGGATGCGCTTGATGGTCTGACCCGCTTGCGCAGACTGAAGGGAGCAGCCCAATTGCTCAAAGGCGTCGAGTGTGTGCGCCACGACTAGTTCAGTCAGCTTTGGCTGGACGTAACTGGAATAGCCAGACAAGTTATTTTGCGCGATAAACTGATCGGTCAGAAGCTTGGTTTCAGTAAAAGCATCGATGATGAATTCAGCAGGCAGTTTTCCAGTACTCAGCGCACCGCCGATAATGGCACTTTTCACATCTTCAGCAGGCTCACTCGGCGGAGTTTGGATGCCGCTATCTCCTGAAATCTCTTCGAAGTCATCGCTCAGATCTTCATCTGTCGCGGAGGAGTCAGATGCACCCATGTTGGCTTGAATGCAGTTCACTAAGCTCCGAACATCGGTCATTTGCATGAGCTCTTCGAGTTCGAACTTGATGCTGAACGCCTTCTCCACCTCGCGAGCAACCTCCATGGCTAGCAACGAGTCGATGCCCAGCTCCACGAGATCTGAACCAGGTTGGATATCCTCCGGTTCGAGACCAAGCAAGTTACAGAATAGATCCCGGACACCGTCCAAGACATCACGTCCAGGAGCCTTCTTCGGCTTTGCCTGTGGCCTCTGTGGTGCTGCTGAGCTGGTAAAGGTCTTGGGCTTGGACTTGTTCGCAGGTGTCTTTGCAGGAGGGGAGGCAATAGCGGGTAGCGCTGGAAGGGGCTCCGGAGCTGGAGCTGGCGCTTGCTGTGCAGGCTGGACGCCAGCAAAGCGTCCGAGGAGACGAGACATGCCGGCGATGGACACCTCAACGAAATGAAGGCCAAGTATGACCCATACCAGCTGGCCGGTAGCCGCGTCGAAGGCGAACAAATCGCTTACATATTCCTTGGGAGAGGGGTGATTATGAATCGCGTACACCTCCCATTGTTCCGGTCGCGAGTCCAGTGGGACGTCTGGGGAGCGGATCCACCTTTCAACACGGTTCGATAGGTACATCTTGCCGTCCTCACACTCGGCCATGCAGTTCAAATAGATACCAGCTACTTGACAGAAGGTGTCTGCGAGCCCCACGCTGAGAATAGTTTGTGCTGCGTCTTGCATGACGATGCGACCCGCTGACTCGTTCCTAGTAGCGGCGATCTTTTGCAAGCCCTTATAGGCATCGTCATTGTACTGCACAACGGGTGCAAAGACCTTGTAGATGTTACGGCTGCCTTGAATCACCTGATCCGCCTCCTGTCCATCAAGCAGCGCAAGAGCACGTCGTCGATCTACCAGGCGTTCACATGTTGTAAAGATCTTTGAGGCATCACATGGAGAGCGGAACAACAGCCGCCCTGAAACATGCTGGGTCGCGTTGTCTCTTGCATTGTCGTTGTCTACACTGGTGATGCGGAAGTCCCAGCTAGTCGATTCACTATCAGTTCTGTCCGCATCAAGCCAGACAAACTTAGACTCGTCAAGGCACAGCGGTGCATCGTTCTCCATATTCTCAAGCTCGGGAATCATATCCGAGTCTTCCAGTAGGCTCGCTAGTGCCTCCCTGGCCATAACATGTTGAAGCATGCTAGGGCAAATTGGTGCTGTTTGTGCGACGAGATGAGCACCGACATATTTCTTGAACTCATCCGAGGTGGCATGAATCTGGAAGCGGGCGTGAGTGTTACCACTATCCTGGAAGCCCATGAATGACCAGAGTCCATCCGGCGACTTCGGCAAAGAAGCCACAGGTGCTGCCTCCTTAACTTCCGGCTTCCGGCGCTCTAGCCAGTGTCTCGATTTGGCAAACTGGTACGGTGGCAGGAGGAGAAGGGAATGAGATGACGTCTGTCCGATATGTTCCCAGAAAGACACGTTCATACCCTCCTTCCATAAATTCACCGTAGCATCTGCCATATTCTGCACAGCTCCAGAGCTGGTGATGTTGATCGATTGGAAGGCCATACCGTGGGATCCTGCCGCTCTACTTGCCAGTGCTGTGACACCCGAGCCGGAGCCTGCTTCAAGCCAGATGCTGGCGGGGTATTTCTGGGCCAACCGCTGGACTGCTCGGTCAAAGTACACGGGGTCCCTCATATGGGAGGCAAAGACATTGAAAGCTGGAGGGCCACTGATTGCCTCCTGAGTGGCTCTCTCGTGGGGAATGGCTGGGTTACGGAAGATCAAACCCTCCCCAAGCTTCTCGAGTTCGGGGACTAGAGGATCCACGAGTGCGGAGTGGAAGGCGTGGGTGATATCTAGCTGCTTCACTTTAATTGACGAGAAAGATGGGTCGCTCGAGAGAGTCTGCTTAACGACCTCCATGGCCTTCGATGTTCCCGCTATGGTGAATTGACGGGGACCGTTGAAGCAGGCGATATTGACAGGTGGCTCCGTCGTTTGTGCGGCGTTGGTCTCGCGCAACAGCTTTTGAACGCTCTCTAAATCACCATCGACGGCCATCATGGAGCCACGGTCCGGACCCCAGTTCATCTCAAGCAGACGAGCACGCCCAGCAATCATTCTTAATGTGTCCTTAACCGAGAGCGTTCCAGAAACGCACATCGCGGTGAGTTCCCCGAAGCTGTGGCCAACCAGCGCGGTGACTTGGACACCACTGTCAATCCAACTCTTGGCGCATGCGTACTGCAGAGCGAACTGCATGGTCTGCAACTCGACAATGCTACGCCTGGGAGTCCGCTCAAAAATGGCTGGAAGGATTCCTTCAAGACCGAGAGATAGACATATCTCGTGGCATTGGTTGAGGTAAGTGCGGAGCGGTTTGAATTGATCGTAGGCTTCACGGTCTAGGCCGACGAATTTAGACCTTTGGCCACCAAAGCACAGAATGACTGGACGAGACGACTGTTGTCGTTGCGCGGAGGTCAGCTCGCCCCGTCCATCTGCGAAGCTGGCGAGTTTCACTTCGAGCTCGTCAACGGACGCGCAGCTAAAGATGAGCGACTGCCCGAGCGAGCGGTTCGACTGCTGCGCCAATTGGTAAGACAGATTATCAATAGTGAAGCGGTTGTCATTGGACTTCCTCGATTGGAGGAATCGAACCAACTTTGCAGCGTACGAGCGCAAGGACTGATCGTCTATGCCAGAGAACCAGAAGGGACGCTTGCCGGCAACTGCCTCTCTCACACTACGGCTTTCACCTTCAAGCTGAACATGATCCGCCTGTGTGATGACAAGCGACGCGTTCGAGCCAGAGGCGCCGTAGTTGTTGAGGAGCGCCGCCCGAAAGTCTGTCGCCCACGACCTCAAACTTGTGGCGATCTCGATATTATCCAACGGTGATGCATTCAGTTTGGAGCTGATCGTTTGGAAGCTGGACTGCGGGGGAATTGCGCCGTTTTGAATCATCAAAAGCACTTTGATCAAAGCAGCCACACCGGAAGCACACTCCAAATGGCCGATAAGGCCCTTTACCGAGCCCAGGGAAACAGGCTCCGCGCGACCCTGTCCTCCCAACACCCTGCGAACACTGTCGTACTCTGCGCGATCACCGACCTGTGTACCGGTACCGTGCGCCTCAACAACGGAGATCTGCTTGGGGTCCAGTCTCGCCTTTCGCAGAACGCCGTTGAACACACTGGTGAGGGATTGGACACTTGGGGCGGTGATAGCCGAGCAGTTTGCGTTTTGATTCACAGCAGATCCCCTGATAACACCTAGAACCTGATCGCCATCTTCAATCGCGGCGGATAGCTTCTTTAAGAAAACCGCGCCAGCTCCTTCTCCTCTGCAGTAGCCATCAGCGGCCTCATCAAACGGCTTACACTGTCCGGTAGGGCTGAGAAAAGAGGCACCATCAAGGTTCTGGTACCACTCTGGGCTAGTCATAACGTTGACACCACCAGCAAGAGCAGCATGGCATTCGCCGTTCAGGATAGCGTTGCAGGCATGATGAACAGCCAGGGCCGACGACGAGCAGGCCGTGTCAATGGTAACACCAGGACCACTCCAGCCAAAGAAGTGGCTGATCTTTCCGGCAGCGAAGGACTTGAGGTTGCCCGTCGCGGTATACGCAGTGGGTGTGTGACATGCAACATTGTTCTCATAGTCAGCCACTCCGATACCCACGTAGCAACCAACGTGTTGGTCAATGGCTGCTTTGTTGAAGTATCCGGACTGCTGCACAGCCTGGTAGGCCACCTGAAGCATCATTCGATGTTGGGGGTCGCTTGACACCGTTTCTCGTGGACTCTTCTGGAAGAACTTATGGTCGAAGGCATCCTGGTCACGGACAAAGTTACCAAACCACTTTCTCTTCTTATCGTTCTCGCGCCAGGCAGCGTAATCAAAATTAATGCGGTCTGAAGGCACCTCAGTGCACTGCGATTTGGCCGCGCATATGGTGTCCCAGAACTCGTCCAGGTCGCTTCCGCCAGGGAAGTGACATGCCATGCCAACGACGGCAATGGCGTCATCCTCAATGGGTCCTAATAGAGCACCCAGCGCTGGGGATAATTGGGCCGACTCAAAGTCGATATCGGCAGCATACGCCAGTTTCGGGCCAAGTTTGCGGAGGAACCACTGAGGCACAAAGCGCTGGCTTCCGAAGCAGATAGTAAGAGATGGGCGAGTCGAAGTCGACTCATGCAGTGCTGTAAAAAGCTTGTGCCAATCTGCCTTGTCGGTCAACATTGCTCGGGCAGCCGCATGGTGAAGTTTGTCTTCAAGTTGGAATATGCCACCATCAGCAGATTGCGTGGCAAAGGCGAGCTGAGAAGCGTGTGGGAATTGGAAGGATGGGTCTGAGTCGAAGAGTTGCAAGAGGGAAGCCGCCTGGCTCTTGCGCTTGCCGCAATGGAAGGGCCCACGCAAGGCAGTCTTCGTGAAGATGAAGCCAGCATCTTTTAGCTTCTCCAACAGTTCAGGGGCGTCAGTCTTTAGCACGGTGAGAGTGGCGAGACGGGCTTCGGAAATGACCGACACATATGCCTGTAAGGCCGTTAGTATAGTCCCATCTGTGTCGATCTTATACTGGGTAAAGTACCTCTGGGAAACTGTCCACAATGCTGTCCAACCCACTCTCCAGGGCATGAGCCGTCCACCCAACGGCCAACGACTGCCATCTGTCTCCGTCTTCGTGGTCTGAATCTCCTGCGTCGACCAACGCTCCGATGGCGGTGGCGATTCGAATAGCGGTTGCGCCATGCTTCTGCAGCTCTCCCAGACTCGCGGAGCTAGCCACCGCAGCTGAACTTATGAGTCCAGTGCAGAGACCCACCGTCTCTGTGTCAAGCTTCAGAGCCCCTTGAAGGCTGTCGTTCGATGAAATTCCCGGGTTGATCTGTGTTACAAATTTCGTGTACTGTGCCAATTGCGTCGTCACGACCAACGGGGTAACGAGGATGTTGGGGAGTGGAAACAGATTCGAGGGTAATATGCCTCTTCTAACCCATTTGTCTAGCAAGTCCAGATATCTCTCACCCTGGAATGCTCCGAGCTCTGGGTGGGCATCTGCAATCTTTTGCCATTCCTGCGGCAATTGTGTCAAGGTGTCTACGATCCACTGGAGCTCGGGTGTTTCGAGCAGAGTCGTCCGGAGCGTCTGCAAGAATGTATTGTCGAGGTTAGGATCTTGAGGCCCAAAGACCAGCGTAAGGCTCTCGGATTTGGTGTTAGAGGTTGAAGTGACCATGTTGAATGCTGGGTCAAGGGTGTTATGGAAGAGTTGAGATTTCGTGTCTGGATGTTGCTCGGAAGCTGGCTGTCTGTGGAATGAAGGGGTGTAAATATACAAGTCTGATTTATAGCCAGCCTCATCCTGAGTAGAGCGTATTAGCAACTACCATCTCGGAAGGCGGTGATTGGATTGAATTCCTCATACTCCGGGTCCTTTGCTGATGCTCTTGCCACGTGGGGGCCGTGAATCCTGCAGCCCTAATCTTACCCTCCGGAGAAAAGTACTTCTTGAAAAGATTGTCCGACAGGGCTCAGAAATCAGCCTCTTTCTTGGCCCTCTCGTATGTTTCTTTTCGGTCTTATTCTTAGGGTCCCTGGGGTCTCTGCCTTGGCTTTGAATATACACGAAGTTCTCTGTAAACCTACCTGTACAGTTGACTTGCAGGACCCTCTGCATTGTAGTTGGCATAGTAAGCCACGTAGTACCGTATAGCAGGGGTGGTCATCTTTGGTCTTTGCAGAGTATTATATTTAGGTATAGGTTGATATCTCCTGATGATCTGGCTCCTGCTCAGCCTACTACACTTTACCACTTGCAGTAAACCCAGTACCTGTAGACCTCTGCATTGATCTCATTTAACATAATCAAACCTAGCATACCTAATATACGCATCTACAATCCCATCATACATGCCAAAGAACCCAACTCACGGAAGTGCAACCCGATCAACCCACTGCGCAACAGAAGTAGGCTCCCTTCCCAACAACCACCTCAGTACATTCGGACTCCCCTTCAGGCCACGGTGATTATAAAACAAAATCAAATGCTCAACGGTATCACGCACAAGATCACCGCGTAAATCACCCTCACTGGCCAGCCCCAGGCCCAGCTCTCCATGCCCCTTCTCCTCCCCGCCATACAAAGCCCTAATGAGCTTATTAACGCCCGTCTCAAAAGAAGGTGTCCTGAGCTCGATCTTCTTCCCAATGCGCCTCTCGATGATTTCAATAATCTCCGTCTCGGAGATGGGCATGGTCGAGCACAGGGGGTATTCGGCCAGAAAATGCCTTTCTCTCTCATTCAATACCTTGGCCGACGCCTCGGCCAGATCAGCCAGAGCGATCACGCTGTTCTCGTGTTCTGGTTTCCACCATTTTTCCAGCACGGGCGTTTCCTGTGCTGCCAGTGCGGCGACGGGGTATGCGTCTAGGAACTGTTCGACTCACTCGTCAGTATCATTCCCCCCCACCACCACCAGCTTCCATAGTAGAACATATAGATGCTAGGAGAGGCAAAACTCACATTCGTCGGCTTGAGAATCGTCCAACAGTCCAACGGACTCAGAAACAGGCGTTCCTCAACGTAACTCTTCAGATCGTGCTGCAGGAGATTGCGGTGCTGGGTACCTAGGACGCTCGAGAAGACGAAGTGCCGGAACACGTTTCCCTCCCGCCGGGACTCGGCAACAGCTGCGTCAATCAGGTTGAAGCCGATCTCTTTCTCGTGGGAGTGCAGACTCGGCAGCACGGCGTTGATGGCTGTGGCGCCGTGGAGGAGCTGCCGGCAGTCGGAGAGGGACTGGAGGTCTGCAGACACGACCTCGGCGTTTGGGTATTGGGCTTTGAGCTTGAGAGCGGAGGCTGAAGAGTGTGCAGCTAGACGGAGCTGGAATTTGCCCTTGTTGTACAGGAGAGGGATGAGCCGGGAGCATTGCTTGCCGCCGGGGCAGGTTATTACTAGGACTTCGCTCATCTTGGTGGTGTTGGTATAGTGTGTCCGGATTGTGGTCTAGGGGGAAATTTGGAAATGTGAAATTCGGGGTGGAATCAGTAGGCTAAGGTATTATACGACTTAATGGGGTTGTTCGTGTCTCGCCTGTTCGGAGTTTCTTTTTCAATAAGTACTTCCGGCCCCCAACTACCATACAACATATCGTTTCTCCTGGCCCTACGCCGGCCCCAGTACTTATTATGTTGTCGGCGTGCGATCGGAAATAGGACACTATAGACAACATGAGTTCTCGTAAGATTGTCGTCATCACAGGTAAGGTCTAATGGACATTCATACGGTGCAGAGAGCTGAGTGTGCACGATAGGCGCCAACACTGGCATTGGCCTGGAAACAGTCAAATCACTATTGCGCTCGAGCCAGAAATACCATATTCTACTTGGTGGCCGCAGTCTTGACAAGGCCCAATCGGCATGCCAAAGCCTCAGTGCTGAACTATCGGGAAGCTCAATCGAGCCGTTCCAGGTGGACGTTGAAAGCGACGAGTCCATCGAGGCAGCTTTCAAATACATCTCAGCCAAATACGATCGGGTCGATTGTCTAATCAATAATGCTGGTGAGTAGAACTTCATCCTCTACATAGAAAAAGATATCTGACTGGAGAATCAGGGGCTTGTTTCGACGCCCAAATCACGGACGGCCGCATGACAGCTCGAGAGGCATGGAATAAAGCTTGGGATGTCAATGTGACCGGTGCACATATCATGACTACGACCTTTCTCCCGCTCTTGCTGAAGTCGCAAGATCCTAGACTCTTGTTCATCACTAGTGGTCTTTCCTCCTTGCAGGGTTCTTCAGATCCTAACAACCCGAAGAATGTTTTCCCACCGGCAGGGCTTCCGAAACCACTCCCGTTCGTCGGGTACCGGTCCTCGAAGGCAGGGCTTAACATGGTAATGGTGGAGTGGGCGAAGGCTTTGAAGAATGACGGGGTTAAGGTGTGGTCTGTTGCTCCGGGTCTGTTGGCTACTGGTTTGGGTGGTGACATGGAGCTGTTGAAGAGGCTGGGGGCACAGGATCCGAGTATTGGAGGCGATACCATCCGGCGGGTAGTTGAGGGAGAGAGAGACAGTGAGGCTGGAAATGTTGTGCGCGAATACCTGACACCAATTCAACCATGGTAAATAGGCGGTTAATGGACAGTGTTATGATACCATAGCCTCGAGGACACAGATAGTCTTTGGAATCTACTTTGATAATCTCATTGGCTCTACCTCCTGTCACTGTGACCGTAGTATGATTTATTCGTACGTTATCGCGGAAGTCATTTAATCTCATGTAGCAGGCTTGGACTTGGACTTTAAATGGATACACCGATACTAAAAAAGCTCTGGATGCCCCAAGGGAACGAATGCTTCGTCTAGGGCTCACTAAAGGCCATCAATACCCACAGCCAATAGCTAAAAGTATGCAATTGCAACCTATATCTACCAGAGGTAGAAGCTTTGAAATGGAGATCTAGTTCAATGAACACCAATCAATTGAAACAGAAGCTCAGCTACACATATTGTCACGAAATTCAAAGCGATTCATTCCGCATAAAATATAACAAATGACCACCATAACTGCCAATTTACAATCAGAGGCCCAACTTCCTACCGGCCTCACCCCCAATAGTCTCCATCAGGCGCTGCCGAATATGTTCACCAATCACCGTCTCAACGCCCGAGCCATCCAAAGCCTGGCACTTCAGGTCGAGGTTCCCATTCAGGAAGAACGGTGCGCTGTATCTTGGCCTGATGTTGTGATTGACAACCCGATGACGCGCGCTGCGGTAGTACCCGGCAGTCCATTTCTGCATCATATCGCCCATGTTGATCACGTAGGAATGTTCCTTGACCGGCACAGGAACCCACGTCTGCGTTGGCGGGTAGAAGACTTCCAGGCCCTCTGTGTCTTCCTCCTGAAGGAGGACGGAGACATTGCCGAAGTCGGTGTGATCGCCCACTGGGTCCATTATTAGACTTGCAAACCTGCAATTAGGATCATAAGGCTTTGAGACATACCACCAAATTGGTTATCATGCTTCACCGGCTGGGGAGCATAGTAGAGAAGACGCAGCGGAGCGGAAGGATTAACAGTCAACTCGTCGAAGACGTCGGGCGAGCAGCCCCAGTGCGCGGGGAGACCACGGGCTAGGACCTTGAGAATGGCCTTCACCATTTCGAGCATCTTAGCGTGGTATTCCATGACAGGAATGCGGAAGTCTTTGTCCGCCAGAGCCTTCGGCCACTGGTTAGGGCCTGTGTGGAAAGTGCCAGCTTCCGGGGCGTCTGCGGGCGTCTCCCGGCCGACGATGAACCCCTTCTTCAATTAGAACTGTTCGTTGAGTACTGCGATGGTGACGACTCACCTCCTTTGTGTCCGGTAAGAGACCCTCTTGGTGCACCTGCAGTGCGGGCGGCTCATAGCCACGGAACGAGCGACCCATAGCCTTCCCGATCCACGTCTCCATCTTGTCCTCCCTCGGCAGAGAGAAGTATAGTTTGGCGCAGTTTAGGACCGTCTGGCGGTCTTCTTCGGGGATGCCGTGGCCGACGAGGTAGAAGAAGCCAAAGGTGGTGCATGCGTCGCGCATGGCGTCGACCACTTGCTGCTTGGCCGACGATGAGGCATTCTCATCGAGGAACGGACTGATGTCCACTGTCGGGATTGCAGTAGGTGGTACCTCGAGGTTGCTACCCATTCTGCTTGTATAAGCTATGTTATCCGATGTTGGTGTATGGGTCGTAGATTCTCGGGGTTCTAGTCTGAACATAGAAATACAGGTCTTGTACGCAAATGAGGAACAATGTCAGTTGACTACAGATAAGCAAGACTCCATCCTACATGGCTCTTTGGTCGCATGGCTGCTGTCTAGGCTTTTTCGTGCCTCTGTTTGGTCAGCCTGGTCAGCTTTCTTCCCAAATACGCGGTTACAACTAACGATCCATGGGTCTGGATCTAAAGATTACTCCGGGGGTCTTGGGGGCTAAAGCATAAAACGGTGAAGGAATATTGTTCGTCTCAGCTGAGTTTTGGTAGGACTATCTTTGAGATCCTTTCCTCTATAATGTTATTCCGACAATTTCTTTGCCAAGGAATTTAGCATGCCCTGAAAGGTTACTCCGAGCCTAAAAATAGCGAGAATAAATTCAAGATAGGACCAATGTGAAGGAGATGCGCTACCAAAAATAACATTGAATAGTAATTAAAGAATAGAATTTGAGGATAAAATGAGATAGAGCTATCATTCATAGATTTAACTGCCACGATACCGAGCATAATATATTCCCACTCACAAAACCCACCACCTACTGCATTGTGCACCTGCGGCACCGTACTCGAGCCAATTCTCACAGTTCCTTCTCAATCCACAATTGTCACTCAACAGCCATTCAAGATGTCCGAAGTATACGACTGGCTCGTTCAAATCCCCGTAAACGCGAGCGATATGCAAGCGTGGACCAACGCCCGAGACGCCCATCTCTCGCACCTCAAACCATACATCACTGATGGAACTATTGTTTTCGCAGGCCCCACCTTGGCAGCGCATCCCAAGGGGCCAGACGACAGGATGGAGATCACAAGCAGCGTCATGATGTTTCGAGCGAGGACTGAGGAGGAGGTACGCGCGATCGTCAGCAAAAACGCATTTGTTGAGGCGGGAGTTTGGGATATGGATCGCGCGGTGGTGGCACCGTTTAAATGTGGCGTGAGAACAGCGGCTTGAGGATTTGATTGAGTCTTGGCCTGGACTTCTATTGTAGTTTCCATTACTCTACAGCCGTGCGCAATGTCTTGTGGCGATGATTGCTACTTTTCTATACTTGTACTTGACTCGAATGGATAATTGGCAAACTGTGAAGTGGAGATTAATTAAACATGCACTGAGGGATATATTCTAATTAAGTTACTGATAGAGAAAACAATCATAAAACCACTTCCAGCCTTCCGTCATCACCTGAAGTCCATTCTTTTAGTCATAAGTTCATATCATCCGGAAAGCAAGGCACTCTCCTCTCGACCACGCGGTTGAAACAAAAGGGTAATGAATCCCTTATGCCTTAATCGCAAGCTTGGGGCCATACTTGGCCACACGAATCACAGCGTACAACAGACCAGCAACGCAAGTCGGTACACCACCAAACGTCCACAAGCTGTGCCAGTTAAGGGAATCACCACCGGTCCGGAGGATGGCGCCACTGCTGGGGCCGCTGATAAGGACACCCAGAGCAATAATGGCGTAACCCATACCGATTCGAGTTCCCAGTCGCGACTTGTCCTTGGTGAGCATGGCAAGACACATGGGCGGCAAGCCGATCAGAGCACCACTCATAAACCCGGAGAGCAATGCCATGACGATGATCGCGCCTTTGGAATGCACAACCATCATGAGCAGCATCAGCATACCGGAGATTAAGGAGGCTGGCACGAGAAGGTTGAAGGGACCCATCTTGTCGGCCATCTTGTTGGGGATGGTTCGGCCAAACACAGATGCAGCGTTGAAGATGGTGACCAGGTAAAAGGCGAGAGATTCGTCGGTGATGTGCTCCGCGGCAGAGTAGTAGGACAGGTAGAACAGAATAACGAACAAGCCCATATAGGCGACGAGAGAGGTGAGGATGAATGTCATGTAGCCGGCGTCAGTGAACGCGGTCGGATCCAAGATGGCGCGAACCTTGGGGGGCTTGACACGGAGCTTCATCACAGCTAAGGGGATCAACAAAGTTCCCAGCGCGATGAATCCAATGACGCGAACAGCCCAAGGGAAGCCAATCTCGTTGATCAGCCGATACAGCACGACGGGATAAATGACACCTCCCAGGGCGGAACCTGAGGCAGCGATGCCCATGGCCATGCCCATCTTGGTGCTGAAGTACTGGGGGATAATAGCGACGCAAGGCACAAAGAGACAACCGGTGCCGATACCGACCACGAAGCCTTGGGCGAGCAGAACTTGCCAGAAGGTCTTGCAGAGACTGAGCATCATATGCCCGAAGACGACCATGAAGCCACCGACGATAAGCAGTGTGCGGAGGAAGCCACGGTCGTAAATCGGGCCGACAAAGAGTCCCACAAAGAGCAACATAAAGGCTGCGATCGAGCCGACCCAAGAAATATCAGAAGAACTCGCCGTGAAGAGCACGCCAGACTCATAGTAGGTCTGGTAAGCACCGAATGTGTTCAGGATACCCCAGGTGTTGAAATAGAGCATGAAACTGCCCAAGACATTCAGCCATGCCAAGGTACCTCCATTCGGCGGTGGAGATGGTCCTCCAGCGGGTCTGGATGGAGGTTCTTGAGGCTGTGGAGGTTTAGTATCCATGCTCTTCTCGCTCTGCGCCGTTGTGTCGCTCATGGCAGTTTCGGGTTCAAGGGCCAGCAGTTTCTGTTCCAATTCTTCGGAGGATAGGTCGAATTCAGACTTATGGAAAGGAGTGACAGCAGTAACAATAATTAAAATATTCTTGATGCAAGCTTGAGACTGTAGTTTGCACGATCCAAATCTCCTGTCAATCTCTTATTCCCTTTATATACAACATTGTCAGTCGGGATTAGGGTCGGGTCCCCTCGGGAAATTGACTCCATTTGTCAACTCTCGGAGATACTTGGACTTGCAGCCCTCGGAGGTTGTTGGTCATCCATGGATTTTGCTGGTCATCTTCCTCTTAGGGCTTCTGCCTGCGCGTGATGATCGCCAGCGATGAAAAAGAAACTCCGAACGGCCAATCATCGCGGTCCACACGGCCCGTGCCGCCCCACTTCAGCCCAACGCGCTTCGGCGTGGCCTGTTTTCGTTGTCGAGTTACTGCGAGCAAAAAAAAATTTAGGAAAATAGGGGTAACGATTTCCAATCTACTGAGTAAGACTTGACGACTCATAAAGGTGGACGATAGGTACTGGCCTGCTGACAGTAAAGTTTCCTGCCAAAGATATATATTCTTGTGTACGGCGGCCTCGTTTAAGTTCAAGCATGGCAATCCTTCATCACTATCAATGTCTACGAGAACTCCATATAAGACTGTCATCCCAGTAAATAATGTCAATAATGTAGGTTCAGTGTTATACACCGCTGTATGAAGCCACCAATTCCAAATTACAAAATGATAGCTCCCACCAACGACTCAACACTCCAACTACCGCGGATCCTCTGTCTTCACGGCGGCGGTACCAACGCCCGCATCTTTCGCATGCAATGTCGCGTCCTCGAACGGATGCTCCGCCCACATTTTCGACTAGTCTTCGCCGAAGCACCCCTCCCAGCACGCCCAGGCCCGGACGTGACATCCGTATACAAAGACTACGGACCATTCAAGGCATGGCTGCGCGTACGGCCTGAAGACCCAGCCCAGGCCGCAGGCGACATCGTGAGAGCAATTGAAGACTCCCTAGGCGCCGCACGACGCGCAGACGACCGTCAAGGCGCGACGGGAGACTGGGTCGGCCTACTCGGTTTCAGTCAGGGGGCTCATCTGGCCGCCGGCATCCTTGCTACACAGCAGGAGCTGCGGCGATGGAATGAAGATGACGAGGTTTGGCCGGCATTCCGGTTCGCCGTGCTGTTAGCGGGACGGGGGCCGCTGAGATGGCTTCGTCCTGATCTACCTATGCCCCGCGGTTTTGTCGATGCTGCACAGTGTACCACGGGTGGTGAGCCCCTAGTTGCTGTGGACTTGTTGCAGGATAATCGTCTACAAACTCCAACTCTCCATGTTCACGGGCTGACGGATCCCGGATTGGAGTTACATCGAAGGCTGCTTTATCAGTATTGCGATTCTCGTATGGCGACTCTTGTTGAATGGGGTGGGAATCATCGCGTGCCGATCAAGTTTCGTGATGCGGCGTCCGTGGTTGAGCAGATATTGTCCGTGGCTCAGCAGACGGGCGTGCTAGATGGAAGTTTGTAGGTTGAACGGTTGTTAGCCAGACTGCACGGTGTAGCGCACCACGGTGGGATATTGTACATACTATAATAGAGATGTTTTATGAAGGGCCAGGATTGATACCTTTTACGCTATAGAGAGTCTATCTGAAGTTCCTTGTACGTATTACTGAGCATGACTAATTTCAGGTTTGTAATGAGAAGCCGATCGACCTGTGTCTTACCTCAAAGCTCATATTAAGGGGTAACTGGATGATAGAAGCCATAGGACCATACAGCAAAAGCTAAGATTGGGGCCCCACCTGATCCTGGCTTCGGAATAACTTTATGGATTTAACCTTGGAAGATGACAATAATCGTAAAAGTGGGCCAAGGCGAATTGGCTTACTCTACCATATGAACGCCCAGAGGAAGAGTTATCCGAATTTTGACAAGCCCCAGAGAACGTTATTCCGTAGTTGCTTTGCTGACCTGCGTACGAGAAAGACTATCCCCGGAGAAACTAAACAGTATTTTGTATCTCATACGCATCCGAGGCTGAACGGCTCCATTTTATAACACTATAACAGTAGCATATCTATCAGACTGTCCAGTATATTAAGATCAGCGGCGATATATAGAGCAAAGTCTACATCGATAGCCTAGGACGGTTCGGATACCCCTTCGGTCACCCGGCTGCTCCACTAGAATCACGAATGATGATCGTCCCTACACCAGAAATGGCCACAACACCACAAATCGCCATCGTCGGCGGTGGCATCGTCGGTCTTGTCCTCGCTGCTGGACTCACACGGAGAGGCGTCCAAGTCCAGCTTTACGAACAAGCGCGGAACTTTCGAGAGATTGGTGCCGGCATCGGATTCACGAGGAACACGGTGGGATGTATGGAGAAGATCAACCCGGCCGTCGTGACGGCGTTGCGCTCCGGTGGAGCTGTCAACGTCTCAATGGACCAGCAGGATCCCAAGGCATATCTGCGGTGGATTGACGGCTACGGCCAGCAACGGGAGGACGATCCTATGTACCAAAAGCCCCTCTTAAAGCTTGACGCCGGCGTCAAAGGATGGGAAACAGTTCGCCGCGATCAGTTCTTGGAGGATCTTGTCAAAGTCATCCCCGAGGGGGTTGTGCATCTACGGAAGCGACTGGACACGATTGAAGACAACGAGGACGCGGACAAGGTCTACCTGAATTTCACTGATGGAACTAGGGCCGAAGCTGACGCTGGTAAGTTTTCGTTGTGTGTCCTTTCTACCCCTGTTCCAGCCCGGCTAATGGCCACGTCTAGTCATCGCATGCGACGGCATCAAGTCCAGAGCGCGACAGCTCCTACTCGGTCTGGATAATCCCGCCTCATTCCCCCAATACACACACAAGGTCGCTTACCGCGCGTTAATCCCCATGGACAAGGTCGTCGCAGCGATCGGCGAATACAAGACCTTCCGCCAACACATGCACGTCGGTCCGAACGCACATCTGATCCATTACCCCGTCAACACAAACACAATAGGGGCCACCGTCGTGGCGTCCGACCCTAACGACTGGCCACAAGACAAGCCTACGACGGCCCGTGCGTCTCGCAAGGACGTGTCCGAAGCACTAGCCGGGTGGTGTACTCCGGTCCGCAACCTCGTCGAACTGTTCCCGGAAGAGCTAGACCAGTGGGCACTCTTCGACCTGTTCGAATACCCAGTGCCCAAGTACAACAAGGGGAGGGTATGCCTGATGGGTGATGCGGCGCATGCATCCAGCCCCCACCACGGTGCCGGAGCTTCGTTCGGGATCGAAGATGCGCTTTGCATGTCCACGTTGATGTCCGAGCTTATCATGGATCTTCGGGAGCATCACACATCCAAAGCAACTGTATTGCGGGCTGCGTTCGAGACATATGATAAGATCCGCCGGACACGAACACAATGGCTGGTCAACAGCAGTCGGCGCGTTTGCGATCTCTTCCAACAACCGGAGTGGGCTAATCCGGCCAAGCGGGTCAAGACCGAGTCGTGTTTTGAAGAGGTCAAGGATCGTTCATTCAAGATATGGCATTTTAACTCTGCTGCTATGGTTGATGATACAATTCGCGAATACAGGGAAAGCATGCATTCGTCGACGAAGACGAAGGGCAACAATGGAGTGAGCGTGGCTAATGGTAGCAACCCGGCGTAATGATTTTTTTTTATTTCGAGTCTTATACTTCATTTACAAACTCTAAGTGTGTCTATAATATCAAGACAAAGATTACATATCGCCCAATTAGTATGTAGAACTCAGGAAGCCCAATTAAGTAAATCAAATCCCCTGGAAGACAGACAGCGAAGGGAAACCACATTAATTACTCCACAAACACGCCCCGACTCCAATAAACATAAGAAAGTCATCATATCTAATTACACGTCGAGACCTATTTCTCCTCCAACCACAACGCTTTCACATCGCGTTTGACCCCCCTACCCAAAGCCTTCACTTCCTTCTTGAGCGCCTTCCTCTCCTCCTTGGAATATTGGCCATTCTTCTTGGCCGCTTTCACCTCGCGGACATACCCCGTCAAGAGGCCCGAGGCAGTTTCCACCGCACATTTGGTGCATTGGCGCTCATCCGCAATATCATTGAGAGCCACGGAGAGTGCCTGCAGGATCTCCTTGGTTTGGGGCTGTTGAAGTTGACGGTCTAGATGAGGTGTCTGGGACGGCCCATGCACAGTACAGGACGCGCTAGATATTCTGTTAAAGTTTGTAGGCATAAACATGTGGAGTCCTTCACTTACCCCTGCTTCTCGGAGTAGACAGACGAGGCCACGGAGACGTGGGCCTCCGACTTTGCGTCTCCCTGGAAAACGGTCTTTTGGGTCATTGTGACTTGTTTGGGTGGATTTGTTTGTGAAGTAATGGATATTTGATAACTGGGGCTGTTCTGAGTCTTGTGGATGTATTCCGATGAATTGCAAGAACGCAGTGTAGGGCTTGGTTTATATGTAGGATATGGGTCTGTCGAAAACGGTAAATATCCCGACCTCGGACATAAGGGCTCGGCCGACCCCTTCGGAGTTTCTTTTTGGTCAGCCCTGCTTTAGGCCTATCAGATATTCAGACACATCCATCTGGATTCTTACTTATCGGTTGCCTATATTGGCTCATGGTGCGTCATGATTCTCAAAATTTGCCATCGGGGATAGCCCTCGGGCAATACCACGGGTATGCTTAGAAATACGAGGTCCCTGCTACGTTAAGTGAAGTGAGGACTGGTGAAGAAGAAGACTATTTGCTAATATGGCATTGACGATGATGTGTTCCAACTAGGAATATATACTGTAGGCAGGTGTGACTTCAGCCTGGCATCCTGGCGAGATGTCGCTGGAACATGGAATTTTGTACAAGATAAATACGGTCGTCAAGAATAATCACTGATACATAATAGTCTCAGAAACCTATAGCTGCTGGCACAATCTCCGCATTACGCTGAATCTCAAGCTCCAGCATCCTGGCAAGGTTATTAACAGGCGCCATATTACTCAAGGCGGCAGAAATGGTCTTCAACTGCGCTGGGGACTTGTGGCTGAACCCCTTGCATGAGCGCGAAAGCTCGGCACAGATAAACAGCGCGATCGGTGTGAATGGGTGAATCTAACATTCCCATCAGAAATGCTTGAGAACTCTTGGGAGACTAATCTTGCCTTGAAAGACCCTATTTGGGATAGTTTTTGTGCCTGGCTGAGCACTCTTTCCGTCGCTATAGCAGCCTTGGTCTCGTAGCTTCCGTACATGTCCTGGTACATTTCTGCGGCTTCAGGTACCGAGTTCAAAGCAGTAAAGAGCACCAAAACTGCGACTTGGGTCAACATGTCGATAAAAATAGACGTGGGGTCAGACGGTGCGAAATCGGCCGTAGCGCTGGACAATGTCGTCTCACTCTCTTGACTCAATATGATGTCAAGTGCTCGATGGCGGGCGATGCACTCCTGGGATGTAGGGTCCATGATACGTTCCACGTTGCATTGGTTTCTGTGGGAGAGGCAGCGTGCAAGGATGGTAAGCATAACGATCGATTTCGCGTAGGATGATAGCTGTTGATCGCTTTTTCTCGCCATGGCCGGGGCCAGATATTCGGTCGTAGCAGACTGTTGATGTCGGAATGCCGCCTCTGGGGCGGGCAGGCGGGTGAGGATCTATGTACAGTGGTCAGTTACTCGTGAGCTACATTGGTTGCGTTTCTGGGTGATGGAGCTGGAGCCTATCACTTGCCATTTGATCGTTTATGGCCAGCGGAAGGCCGTTGACGAGGTTCGCATAGCGATCGAGCGCATATGCTGTCCAGAACGTTCTCCGTCTCTCCTCGATCTCCACCCAGGAAAGACTGGATGTCTGCCAGGTATTCGGGTTGTCAATCTGATCTAGCTTCAAGAGATGGACGAGATGAAAGCAGCGACCAGCGCTAATCCATCCCTTGCTGGGGTTGCTTTTTAGAATCTCGTAGAGGACCAGAAGTAGCCGCGCCTGCACTACTTCGATGGGAAGAGCCTCGTTTGGCATATGTTGCTCCCACACGTCCAGTAAGCAGCAGGTGTGAGTGTATAAGAGCGGTAAGACGCCCTGGAACTGACTCCCCATTGATGCGGCCAGCGTTCGCATGGCATATTGTAAGGTGGTTAAGGGCTCTCTGGCGCCTGACTCGTGGGCTGCCCGCGCATAGTACCGCTGCTGGTGGATGATGGGAGCAAAAGGGTAAGCGCGGTCGAAGAAAAGGTCGTCTCTGTGACCGACAGTTAGTTCATTTCTGCTTTTCTGAACGTTTAACATGGCCTATAACCCCTACAGATCTGCTCGCTCTAGGGCTGACAGCTGCACGGGAAGCTGAATTGGCAGGAATTGCGGTGTCATAGCCTGGGAGCCCAGTTCCAGTGGGCTTATGCTGGCGTCCATCGGACATGCAGTTGACACGGACTTGGGTATATTGCTTTGTGGGGTTAGCGCTGGGGATTGGTAGGTACACTCCGGGAAGGGTTCAAGATGTTTGCACCATTCGCTCTCCAATTCCAATGAAGGGATTGCCGATGGCCATTTGAGGAGTCCGATGGACTGCGCATCCAAAAAGAAATCATCCGGTGAGTCCTGTGAGTGTACGACGCTGCCTTTTTCAATTTCGCCAATATCAACATTTCCTGATTGGTCTATCTCCAATACCTGTTGGGTGGACGTTGAGCTTTCTCGTCTGCTCTGTTGGGCCTCGGAATTCTCATATAACTGGCGCTCGAGCGATGCTGTACTTCGGATTAGTAGAAAGCTCTCCTCACCCAGTTCACAGACAAGAATCACCCCACCTATGCGCGATCTCAGGATATTGACATGACCCTTCCTCGGGCCTCGAGGTCGCCGCGCCGTATTTGTAATGCATGGTACACCCAGATTGCGACAGGTGCTACATTGCGGCTGGCTCATATCGCACTTGAGTTTACGTGAACGACATTCTTCGCAGGCGAGCCCTTTATTCTGCCGGCGGCTCTTTGTTGGTTCTGTTGTGACGTCGCCCATCGGGACTTGTGGTCGGAGTAATGGCGCTTTCATTATAGGGCTGCGTTCGACAGGGATCTCCCGTCAATTTCAGTTTAAAGGGAGACCGGCGTACGGCGTGGTCTCTAAGAACAGCAAATAAGGCGTGCCAATTTGGCTTCAAAGCTTATCATATCTCACCAGCGTAAAGTAAGCACTTTTTGATGGAATGGCCACACAGTTGCTTTCCCTAGCTAGAATCCTCGCTGACCATTCTGGGAAAGACCTGGCCCTTAGGATCTATATGATCTGTAGAAGCGCGGTGGAAGGACATTCAATTGAATATCAAATCTAAACTAGATATAGTCAGTGTCTCTATCTCTATTCTTAACTACGGCAGTGGAGCATCTCATCTAACTTCGAGGCTGAAGATAATGTAAGGGCCTGAAAATCAGGCCCTGGCAGCAAAATCGCCACGTGGGAACCGATTGTACCACACCCTTGGAAATCCCGAGAATAACTGAATCCATTGTGTACGATTGACAGAGTAACCGATGGATCCTAATTGCAAGTCTGGACGCATGTCACATTTCATGCGGCATCGATCTTGACTACACAACCACCCTATCTCAAAAATGACCAAGGTGTGAGGACTGACGCCAAGAACCTAATAAACCACCGAGGACCCGATTACAGTCATATGAGAATTACGTAGCCATCAGCGTTCTGTTGGTAACTGGGTCCCTGACGCTTCTGCCTAGTACCAACATACGCAATAAGTACTAGTACATGTGCGAAAGAACCCCATATCCACGCGAAGGGCTGAGTGGATCCCAATTCTCCGCGTGGCCGGATCAGTAGCTTGCCCCAGCACCAATCATAGTGGTGGCCTGATCCAACCTCACGAACGACATCAGCGCTACACCTGCTTGGTCCAGGCGTCTTGGCTCGGATTCATTTTTTGGCCTCTTTCTGGCGAATGGGAGCTCTGTTGGACAATACTTGCAAGCGCGAGTTGCCTTTTGGAGTAAGGATTGGCGGCCTGTCAGCGCTAATGGACTCGGCATTGGGATGCTCCACTCCTAGGATATTATCCGTCGTTGAAGGACGAATCGCTATCATCATGACATTATCTTCGGATCTTCTGCTTCAAGTTCTGCAGGAACTAATGTATTCTGTGTCGGGGTTGATAAAGGTAACCGATTATTGCCCACGTGGCTAAAGCTATCGAAATTGATTCTGAGCAGTGCATGGCTGGTCCTCTTTACGGTGGTATCAACATCAAGGGTTCCATTACGGAGTGGGTAGCTACGTTCAACTTGGCCTTTCTCTTGTTGCGTGTGCTTGAGCAGATTACTCCTATGCTTATTCAACCTAGTGGGTAGTGGCGTCATCCTGGTATAAAGTTCCGGACACAAGCCCTGTCCCACGTTCATCCCTACTCGCCTCGAACTCACAGTAGATGACCTGTAGGGTTACACCTTGGAAGCCATTCTCATGGAAGACCTGCAAGATGCATAGGTGCATCTCGCTCATGGCAATGATGCTAATCTTCCGTTTTGCTGTCAGCTTAAGAAAACAGAAATCTACACTTTCCACTGCTCTATGCCTCCACATGCAGTACGCAATGTTAACTTGATATCTAGTCCTTCAGGTTCCGCCGAACGTATCATGGACGAGATATCGCATACGGATTCCCAAACAGGAATCCAGATGCGAAATCATATCAGCCGTATACCCCTATCGATGAAACACCCGTTAGCGTGTCAAACTATAATCATACCTACCGC